ATTGATTAAGCCTGGTTGGACGTCGGTGTAGCCTTCTGAGCGCATGACCTCATTTAAATACGCACTGTCCAATGAAATTAGAGGAAAAGTGTCAGGAGATTTTGGGAGCCAATTAGAGTGCAGTCATAATAATTTTAAGATATTGACCAATAGTTTGAACTTTAGTTGGAACAAAAAATTAGCATACATCTGACATTGTTAAAATTTATTAAATAGTAATCGAAACTGCAATGTGAATGGCGCAGGCGATTTCAGCCAATCAGAATAACGGATCTGACGCATCCTTATTTGCTGACTGATTTTGAGACGGCAAAGTACAAATTAAGATGTGCTTGATGGGTATTTAATTATTGATTTAACGATAAATCACTACCTCACTAGTTATCATACAATTTTGGTTTTCTTTTTTTTATATTATTTTATAAATATAATATAATTTTGAGCACAAGGAGCCACATATTATTCCCATACCTAATGGGTAGATTTTTATTTTTGCTTTAAGGTCCAAGAACTGGCTGCCCCACCTCGAACATTGCAGGTTCTTCGCGAATGCATACGCGCCTGTATGCACGCCACGTATGAGTGCCTTTCCGACAACGTACAAGCCCTCTACGGCGGTAACTTCCAGGTACAAAATCTACTTGCTTTCTGCTGCAATAATATTGTTACTGATAAGATATTAGTAGCAATTGTCTCGTCAATTCACTCGCAGTTACCCAGCTACTGTGCTTGGTATTTTCATTATTCCTGCAGAATGGAAATACGTCCGCCGCGGCACGAGCTGGTGGTGGAATGGTCTCGACCAATGAGAAAACCACCGATTTCCAATTAGACATCGATCCTCTCTTGGGCGTTCGATCCCTCTCCTATTGGCACAAACTAATCTCCCTCATGGTGTCCGTCATTGAGGACGACCGCAAACACTATGCTCCTGTTCTCAACCAGTAAGAAGCCTTCAAAACTGACCAATCAAATTCAAGCCCTTGGGGGATTTTCAAGTTGATGATTTTTCATCGATTTTATTGGGTTTTTTGTTGGTGTGATGCCTTGATGGTTTGATTAAATGGTTTTTTCGGTGTAGATTTCCACAGGACATCAATCTGGGCGATCTGTCGGCAGAGATGATGTGGAATTTCCTTGCAGAGGACATCTCAGTTGGTCTGAGTCAGCACTACGAGGCGGTGATGCGTCGGCTAGTGACGCAGAGCCTCACTGCTCCGTCGGGAACAGCTTCACAGAAGCGCTCCACGTCAGCGGCTTCAGGAGACCAATGCGGCGAGATCACCGTGACTAGACTCTCCAAGGCAAAGATCAAGACCTCAGACTACCTCAACCTCTGCTTCCGCATCAAGTGGTTCTACAACACCTACGTTCGACCAAGTCGGCGAAATACACCCGAAGAGGTTCCAGAGTATCCTAAGTAAATCCTCACCTTCAAAAGCAAAAAAAATGGAAGATATTTTTTTATCTGCAAGTCCATAGGTCTCATTTCAGCAGTAGTTGTACCTCTGCGTAGTTTCATTGGTTGAAATCGATCCACGCGCGAGGGATTCGTAGCCACGGTGTCCAATCACGGTCTCTTACTGGTGTCTGTCTTGCCTTCTAGGTGGTTTGAGCCGCTGGTGATGCTGTGGCTAAGCGAGAATGACGAGGTGTCAGAGAATTACTTGCGCAACGCCTACGAGCGCGACAAACGCGACGGATTCCAGCGCTCCAGTGAGCACGCACTCTACTCCAACTCCGTGGTGGACGTGTTCACCCAGCTGAACCAGTGTTTCGACGTCATCCGCAAGCTCGAGTGTCCCGATCACACCATCGAGGCCAACTTTATGCACCAGTTCGCGCAGGTATGCATAATTGACCGACCATTGAAATACCAATTCTACTCAAATCATTTCAGTACGACCTAAATTTCAAATTTTTAAACGAACTTGGGTTTTTGCATTTTTGACAATTACTTGCAGACCGTCGAAAAGGTGCTCCTGGCGTACTCGGAAAGCGTTCAACTGGACTTCCCGCACTTCAAAAACGACACCCGCATCGCCTGCATCCTGATCAACAACACACAGCAACTGCGGGTCCAACTTGAGAAGGTGTACGAGGCGATGGAGGGAGAAGAGTGAGTTTAGACAGTTTTGCAAAAAAAATAGTTTTTACTGCTTTGTTTTAAAGACAACCTTTCCATGGATACCGTGGATAACTTCAGCTTCAATCTCCATGACGAAACCCGCGAACAGCTGACGGAGCTGCAGGTGAAGTTGAAGGACGCCGTCGACACCCTCGTCGCCTCCTTTGCCAGCGAATTCGAGGAGGATGTGCAACGGAATGTACTTGAAATGGGCCGACTACTACAAAGAGTAAGTAGCAAGTATTTGCGTGGTGTATCGGAGGTCTACGGTTGCACGCATCTCGATTTTATTCCGTTTTAGTGCAATGTATCGGGGTCGGGAGGCAGGAGCATGGAACAGATGGAGGCAGATTGTGAGAACTGTTTGCGACCACTGATGGATTACTTTGAGTTGGTTCTGTCCGCGCAAGCCAACGCCTGTGAAAAGACAGTGCTTAAAAGGCTCCTTAAGGTAAATATTCGCGCTACTTTTTCTAAATAAGTAGACTTTTTATTTACATGCTGCGTCCCGTCAATGTGTCGTTTTAGGAACTGTGGAAAATAACTATGCAAAATACAGAAAAGTTTGTCGTTTTACCGGGCGTTTTGGATGCAAAACTGGTAAGAACGAATTTTGTACGCATCGTAATTATGTACGTTAATAACTGACATCTTCTTCCGACAGTCGAGGTGGTTTTCGATTGGTCGAGCACCCTCAAAGGTAATTGTTGGTGGTGGTGGTGGTGGTGGTTGCGGTGGAAGCGTGCTTTGCTCATTTATTTAAATTACCTCTTTTTTAATCTTTCATATTTCACACAAATCTCGTGATATCTAAGCCTTTCTAGTTGGTTGGTTTAGCACAGAATGTGTCAACCAATCAATGCACAACGTCCTTGACTTAAGCCAACCAGTGTGCTACAAACTAAGTTACGAAGATATCATCGTAATCTGATTGGCTGCCTCTAGTTATACCCAATAAAATACGAGAAAGTGATTGTCTTGCTTGTCTAGGCGCCTGCGATGGGACTGACCACTCCCAGGGGGACTGCATCGTCCAAGCTGATTGGTGGAGCACAGAGCCTCTTCAGTCATGTTGGACACAACGTTTCAGCCTCTAAACTCCTGCAGGTAAACTCAAGTGTACTCCAACACAACTCTCTTCACAGTAGAGAGCACCTGGTGCCATTGATCGTGCGTTTTTTTGTGTAGGACTTCGCTGGCGACAGCTCCACCACCAACAGAGGCCTCACTCCTTACCAATGCGAGCTTCTGAGCAGTTGCCTTGAGACCATCCAGGTGTACTTCTATGCCGGTGGAAGGGGTCTCAAACGCTCCTTCCTTGAACGCTCTCCGGAACTCCACAACCTTCAGCAGGCACTCTCGCTCTACTCCCAGTCCACTGACACCCTACTCAAGGACTTCATAACCTCCGAGGTCTTTGCTATGGGTGGGTACAATTGCATTGAAATGACCGCGCCACCTCGGTTTGACCTTGATTGTCATTTGTTTTAATCTTTAGAGGCAATTTCCCCGGATGACGCCTGCGGTTATTTAAATGTACAGGTGGAAGTCTTTAAGCACCCAGGAACCGGAGAGTACAAGGTGATCGTAAAAGGTAGCCTCTTTGGTGGTTTTGTGCCATCAACCAATCACCACCTTAGCTCCCATATGTGTCCTCAACCAATCATACACAAGCAAATTATGCGGTTTATCTCTTTTAGTATTATCCGCGTCTGACCTTGGAGGGGTACATATCTCAGGGGTGTTCCGTCCATTTGTCGAGGTCTACCTTTTCGGCCCCCTTCTTGCAGACCGCAAACGACGCTTCACGACCAAGTCCCGATCTGGAACCATCTCGCCATTGTTCAACGAGACCTTCGTGTTGTAAGTGGACAACTGTTTTGTGATTGGTTGGTGAATCTCCTATTTCTGCTCTAGCGGACTGACGGATCGCTGATTGGTTGGTTAAAATATCCATATTTCTGCTCTAGCTACCTCTCAAATCGAAGCGACCCTGAATGGTACGAGCTGCAGTTCATCGTAAAGGACTACTGCTTCGGTCGAACCGACCGCCTCGTGTCGACCAGCGTGCTGACCCTCTCACAGGCCCTGGATTTGGGCGGATCGGCTCCTGTCCGCCTGCCGCTAACCCGGCGGCAAACGCAGCTGGAAGCTGGTTGGACGGTGCTGCGAATCCTCTCGCAGCGAATCGCCACCGACGAGGTGGCGCGCGAATTTGTCCGCGTCAAGACCGACTGCTGCTGCTACTGCACCTCCGTCAACGCCGAAGATGCCTACGTCACACCCAGCCTCTCCCACTCACAACTCGATGCTGTCTCTTCCTGACTACGTTTTTTGCAATTTATCTATCTAGCGATTTTGCCAACGACTTATTTATTAACTATGTACATGAATGATGCGTGCGTGCGTGTGTGTATTTATTGACCAAATACATGGTGATGGAAAGAATAACATCGTTATTGTGTGAAGACCTTCAAAGGATCTAAGGTAGAAGTGTAGTCGGTGTCGAATACCAGAGCCCTACTATGAAGGAGACTGGTTTAACAGAACAGGCTTTATTGACCAATCACAAGCCAGAGCCACGCCGCTCATTATATACCACTTCTCAAACGTGTCTGTCTCTGGTTGGCTGTTTAACTTCCTCGCAAGCCATTGGAACGCAGATAGACAGAGTATTGGCTGAGGCCACAGTGGTCCAAAATGTCGGCGCCCTTATATGTCGCTGCAGTGGGCTGTTGAATACTACTATGTATTTCTATTGTGAACGCGACGGCTGGAATGATAGTCCGATCTGGAACGAACTTGAGTCACAAGCATCAGCCAATTGGGTTCAAGGAAGCAAGTCACAATTAAAAAATACACAATAACATCAAATATTAGCAGAAAAGGTTACGCAACAAGTAAAGGTTTGACCTTAGCTGTCACCGGATATTTATTAAATATCCTGTTTTTATCCACTATTGATTATTGGCAGGGACCGCGCCACTGCCAGCCTATGCGCATCCAATGGTGACGACCCAGGTAAAGATTTTAAAAATTCTAAATTTAAGAGGGAATCAGCAGACGGCAAAACTATCCATTTTATTGGTTGGCAACCAAGTCAAATCGCTAAAACACCAAAACGAAAGTGAAATTGCGAATTATTTTGAAAATCGAGCTTTAGTTGCCTCATAAACTTCAAAGGGAAGATTTCCTGAGCCGAATTTCGTTAGCCACTGCATTGATATTGAAAAAAATGCCTTTCGATCAATAAATCAGCCATATTCGTTTCAATTTTTGCTATGCTTGGCCGTAAATCAGAGCTGGACCAATCGCCAGCATATGAAAATTGTTCAGCAAGCAAATAACCAATAGCAGATGAGTATCTAGTTGCAGAATGGTGATTGGTTTGATTTAGAACACGATAAATTAAATAGGCAGAACGTTCGTGGTGTAAATGCCGCAAGCACGACTTTTTACAGCAGCTGAGATGTTCAATCAGTACAGCAGTCAATGAAGCATCTACAACAGAATCTAACGTTGAAAACCACGCAAATTAACTCGCATCCGTGTGCCGTGCCATGCACTGATTGACGAATCATGTCTGAACCGGATTATTGCAATCTGATTGGTCCTTGTGATACTCTCTTGCCTTTTATTGGTCACTGTTAGCAAGCACTGACTTTGCACGCACAACGACTAACAGGTGATTGAGCAGTTGTGTCGCTTTCAACTTTTTCGGTGCTGCAAAACGGAACGGTCCAACTGAGGTCACCGAGTGAGGTCGGCCGACATATGTCTAGACACCAAGATATTTCACCTCCTTCAAATTTTCTGTTTTCCTAGCCGGTTAATGGACGAGATTCAGCTCGATCCACTTTAGTTCCTTGCCTCCCACACGACGTTCCCATTGGCTGTGCGAGGTAACGCCCGAGCACCCACCTGTCTCTGCGGCTGCGTCAACGTTGTTATGGTAACGTATCTAGATGGCTACATGACTGAGATGGATTATCTATTCTTGCTTTCTTCATTGCAAGTTTCGCCTAATCGAAACCAATTTTTCCTACTCTCGATATCCACACAAATTTTCAGTGTCTGCAAAGCCAATAACCGATTCCACCGGATTGTATTGGTGATGTAACTGATAAATCAATGCCACTAGCGAAACTGACCAATCAAGTGTCTAGATCTGAAGTCTTCACCTGTGGCAACCACATTTTCTGAAACCGTTACGGTTCCTGGTACACAAAGACGAAACTCCGAGTGGGAATTAATCGATGCCCGCGTTACCAAGCTGTCGGCTTTCCAACATTATGACTCAGACAAAGCACGGATGAGTCAGCGTCTCCCCAAAACAAGATCTCGTGTAGAGAGCGTTAAACGTCTCACATGCGGCCTTGAGCGGGGATCAGCGAAAAGGTGCACTCAACGGTGTAATGGACCAATAGGAGTAAGGCGGGGAATATGATTACGAAATTTGGTGTGCGTGCGCACGGACGACGATGAAAGATAGAAAATTTGGGATATTTTGAACGACATAGTCTTGGTAATGATGAATTCTCAACATTACCAAGATCATCGCGTTTGAGTCGTGATGGTGGAAATTTTCAGAGTAGCAGGTATTTGTTGGTGATTTTCGATTGGACATTGAAATGATCGGCAAACGGATGTCTCCGTGTTTGATCGACATTAAGCAGTTCTGAGTCACACGACTGAGACAGCCGATTACGCTTCCGTGTTACTCGCGATGAAGAAAAAGACTTGAGAGGACGTGGACACAACCGTTTACTTCAGAGCTCAACCAAAATTGGTGTCGTGTGTGGGGTTTGCGCGTGTGCATTTATACCTCGGATGTGTGAGTCATGCATGCGCTAACATCGAGACCTAGGTGTGAGGATAATCCAAGATAAATATTCGTGCGAATGAGGGGGAGTTGAGGATCCGCGGGGCTGGCGACATGCTGCGAAAAGGGGAACACTGTGTCGGAGGTGAAGCGACCGGATTAACAAGCGTGATTTAACACAAGCTTTTCTATATAGTGACTTCTTAATAGAAGAGGCAAATTATCACTGATATTGAGCTGATAGTAAAATAGGGGTGTCACCATCGTCCATGTGATCATGGACTGTCATTGAGTATATCTATGTAAACAATAATTATCTACGATACGTTGAGGCCCACTATCGGTCAGGTACAGTAAAACAAAAAAATCAATAAAGGATCGTCACAAACGTCTAGCAACGTGTACATTTCATCCGGCGGGAAAGACGAAAAATTTAAACCAACTGGTAAATCAAAAATAATACCGTAAATGTCAAATGGAGTCAGCCAATTGGATGGTAGCTGCCGATGTGGCAACAAGCTGATTGGTCAGTCCTGCAAAGGGCCTTGAGTTGCTAAGTGCGCTGACTACATTCGGCTTCGCGTTGATATTCTTAGCGCCAGTTTAAACGTTGTTATTCCGTTTTGACATTTTCAACGCAAGTATGTGGACCAGCTAGTGATAGGAGCTTCCTGATTGGTTGGTTGTAAAGCCTATTCTATAAACAGATGCATTTTTTTACATTTAAGTAAAGTGATGGCTCGTTTTTACTGAGCATATCAGGTTTTGAAATCGTTTTAACCATGTTATTTAGTCATTATTGCGATGCAAATGGAGATTAACACTTTGCTAACTGAAGCTTTATGTGTTTCAGGCAATTTGTGAAAGAGGTTGTTGGGTATGCCTAATACCTCGAGTTAGCCCAACAAAGATGAAGTCGGTGGAAGGACAGAGAGTCAACCGTTTATTCGAGGTCTTGACGAAGTTGTGTCGTGGTGGGTTTGTGCGTGTGCATTTATAGCTCGGGTGTGTGAGTCATAACCGTGCTAACATAAAGATCTATGTGTGAGGTTAATCCAAGATACATATACGTGTGAATGAAGGGGGGTTAAGGATTTGCGCGGTTGTCGCCATGCTGCGAGAAGGGGAGCTTTGTATCGGAGGCGAATCGATCGGATTAAGATGTTGAATAAACACGAATCACAACAAGGTGGAATCATTACATCTTTTCGGGCTACTTCTTTTTCGCGTTTCTTGGTGATTCAACATGTCTAACTTCGATTCTCAATGCCTCAGAGACAGCCAAACCTCCACTAGCTACCAACATTTCATCTACAAACTAACTTACTTTCCGTTAAACCGATGAATTGAGATTGCACAGAGGGGGGCGGCAGAGTAGGTCTTAGTGAGTACTCAAAAGACGCGTAGATGAGGAACATCAAAGTCACCACCTGTAGAAACCGCCAATCACACTGAGACAGACGGTTGTTGAGGTCCAGGAGTCACACACGACGGTTTGCCAGACCACGCACGACGCTGACACAAGCGTTTTCTTGATGGCTCGATTCAGTAGTGTGTTACTATGGCAACCTAAAGATCACGGACGTCAGGTGTGATCCTACACAGCCAATGTAATGGCTGAGTTGGAAGAGGAGGAGAAGGAGGAGGAGGAGGCATGGAAGAGACACACGGACAATTGGAAGACGGTCAATTATCTGGTTGTCTGGACGCGTTTCGGCCGACAAGAATGAGAGCAACTATACGGCAGTGTCTGGTATCTCAACTCGACAAACAGACATGCCAATCTGCACCGTGTTGAGGTACATTCGTTTCGTCACCATCCAGCAAATCGCAAAACGAAGAGGGTGATGAGACGACAGCACAACTGTCCAATCACCTACAGGTGATGATGTGTCATTGTGTGCGTGTGCGTGTGGAGAACGACCAATGGGTGGCAGCGAGCAGTCATAGCAACCAATCAAATTGCTGCACACCGATTCGCACCACTCAGTGTGTGGCACAGTACCTGAATCCGGGTTGTTATGCTTTAAATTCTCAGGTAGGCTTGTAAGCGAGTGTGGAACCAGCTGGCAATCGTCAGCTCCGGTATTTTTGGCGCATTTGCAACATCAAACGTTCGCCAAATTGCGCAATTTTGTGTGTTTATGTGTGTGAAATAAAGACAGTTTTTTTTTCACCTCGTTCCCTTTTAATTTTATGGAAGTTGTAGGTCGTAACCTGTTGTCATATGGTCTGCAGCATCTACAAGGGCGTTTTCAAATCGCAGTTACAGTAGACAACCAAGTTTAGGACTCTGGCACCACAAGCTTGCACAGACATGTTGAATAAACCACGAGAACGATCGGTTTTGCGTGTACAATGTAGTCAGTTTCTAACTGTACATTTTGAGCAGCTGAACACCAACATACGGGATGATCTATCAGCATCTACGGCCGTTAGAGTGCAAACTGGTTCTTTGAACAATCATCGGCGTCTGTAGCATTCGGTGGAATGCCTGGATAATGCTGCATCGCCATCCTTGTTGTTCTTGAAGAAGCAATGCTCATCTGATCAAAGATCTGCACTACTAGAATGTACAAGTCCTAGATTTGTGTTATTCGGACCTATAACGTCTGTAGAAGTACATTTTATGCAACTTTGATACGACACGCCCCATCTTAGCGCTGAGCGTTGCTTTGAAAGTCATGTGGCTTACTTTGGTCTGGTATTCCGGGACCATGGGAAAAAATCGGAGTTTACCGCCACCTCGAGTTAATAAAATAGGGCCTAAGTTCATTAATGTGGGCGTAGCACTGCTGTGTCTGGTAGGTTAGGTTGTTCTTGTTTTAATTTTTGCAAAAACACCCAGCTCACGCTGATTGGCTGTGCGCATATTATCCGATTCTACGCAAAGTCGTGGTGGTTACCGGAGCGGAGGCAAATTTGCATTTCCATTTACCCACAATGACTACTTCTGGTGGTTCACTGTGGACAATTTGCAGGCACGTTGCTTGGGCATGCTCGGCGTTATTTCTCTTTGTCCTGTTCGCCTTCTTCGTGAAAACTGGTACCACGTTAGTCCTCGATTCGTGTTCTAAAGGCTACCGAACCCCGACCGCAGATGAATCGTTTGGCGGTGATGCGTCATGTGAAAACAGTCAGCCGTCACAATGGTGAGTGTTTGTTCTGCTCGCACACCCTTTGAATAAACCAATCTTTTAAAACGTTTGTTTAAATTGGCCATTTTGTTGTTTGAATGATTTTGGTTTGGCTGCCATCTAGAGAAACATGCCGCATATGGACATTGAATTATACTTTTTTTAGCAACAGTGGATACATAATGATTGGCGTTGGCGCGGTTTTTGGCATAGGCTTCGTTCTTTTAGCAGTTTACTTCTTCTACAATTTATTGAGCAAGCGAGGAGGCCCCCGAAATGACGTCGAAGCCCCAGCCAGAGAGAATGGGGTATGTTGTTTCCACAGTTTAAATGCCCGTTTGCCTGCCAGTAAATGCCGCTTAGCTATAGTTTGCAGAAAAATGAGACTGTAGTTCATTTTTACCATCAAGTGCTTTCTTGAACCTGATTGGCTGATGCCAGTGACTCGAGGTCGTGGTTCAGCAGACCTTCATTCATTTTTACAGTGTCCAACAGCCCATGTGGATGTCATCATCGACTCGCCACCGGACTACGAAACTGCCTGTCAAGCTCTGGTTGTGGACGATTGCGACGACTCGATCTCCTACCACCCACCACCTCTCCCGCCCTCCATGAACTCATGATTTGTTTAAACGCACCAAATTTACCTACATTCAAGGACTCGCGGTTCAATAGGGCGAGTGTGTAGCAAATTAACTTTTCAACATGTGTGATATACGTATTTATTTTTACTGCAATTATTACAACCTTCTCAGGCACTTTCGTCTGCTTATTCGAGCTCTTTTTAAACAACCCGCTTGGATAATCCATGTTGATTGGTTAGGGGACGACTAATTATGAATCACTCAAAAATGACCGAATTCTACAGTTCAGCTATCAGCTACTGCCTCTTTGGATATTTGGGTCACGTGATTGCGACTGCAAAAGTCCGTGGTTTGTTTCGGGAAAAATTGTGTCCTAGTAGGTTGTTTTAATGGCCTGAAATCAGACATTATCGACCGTCCGCACGTTTTGAGTCTGAAGTACGAGAGTTAGGTTGTAATTTCACCTCCACTTTGATCAGACGGCTGCATATAGGTCAAATTTTTTTAACAAAGAAAGCAACTAGGACCATCCCTTTGAATTGTTGATCGTAAAATTATATGTAACACTTGTTTGGAACGCCTTTTGATGTTTTTATGACCGTCGACACCTGACATTTAAGTTATGTCATATTTGGTCTAACTGCTGGCGGTTTAGTGTTAGTGCATCTATGCAAAACAAGCAATTTTAACAAGTCTTAACCAAAGGCCTTGGTAAAACTGACAATAAGTGTAGTTGATGTGGCGACAAAATTAGCTACATTTTATTAATGTTAATTATAACTAAATCAGAGTTGTCGTTTGATTAGATAGAGGCTGAATTATTAACCCACATGCGCAAAAAACCTATCGATTGCAGTGCTTTAGCCGCACTAACAAGCTATACAGCTAGCTTTTGTAACGATATCGTATTACACCATTGTAGTGCCAGTACTCAGATATGTTTTGTGATTTTTGGAACACTTTCGATGTATCATTTGAGGTATGATGTTGCATGACCTCAGGTAGGTCGGGTGAAATGTTCATCGGTTTGAAGTAACCAAAAGTAAATGAGTGTGCATACTCACAGACTGATTACTGAAACCAGTTACCTGGTGATTAGGACAACAGTTTGGTCAATGTGTTAATTTAGGAGACTGTTTAAAATATTGTGTACAATTTGTGGGGCACAATTAAACAACGCGGGAGAGTGAAGCCTGTTTATTGGATAATTGGTGTCCGTGACTTGCTCAACTTTAATTGGTTACAGGAAAAGCATTGCAAGATTATACAGCACTAAAGGTCAATGATTTCTTTGAGAGTTAGCTCATCGTTTACATGACAGTAGTGCTTAAAAAAGTTAACTCTGGGACAATTAAATTTAAATGCAACATGGCGCCACCATACTTCAGTTTACGGCCTTGATAACAAAGTCATTAACATTAACGTTTTCGAGGGATAAAATATTCCATATTTTAATTACTTTCTAAGATGGAGGACCACGTGTATTCGTTACTTCGCGCGACGTAATTTTATTGGGGTCAAAATCACATACTTACTTATGTGATGGAATCCCATGAAAGCTCCAATTCATACTACAAATAATAAGTAGGAATTCCCGATTGTTATGTCTTTAAAAACACAGTTAGACAAATTATCCTACCTGTGGATACCTATCATTATTTAATTATGGTAAAAATAGAGTTATCGCCAGAATAATAGATCAAAGTCGAACGGGTTATGGACTAAAAAGCCCTCCAGTATAAAAAAGTAAGCAGTTACATCGTTCTTGCAGCCAGTCTTCTTGGGTTGATAGCCGAAATTGAACAAGTGTGATAAATGAATTATCACCGATTCTGCAAGACAAATTTAGTCCAGCTCCTTGAGTTTTATTTTGTGTTAAATGAGAATTCCAAGTACCAGAAGTGATATTCATGCATTTTTTTATTTACAAGGTAATAACACTGGATAGATATGTGGAACAAACTGACTATTTAGACAAACACTGCTGTTTAAACATTCGTGAGTCGACTCGTCATAGTTTGAATTTTCGGTTTCGTGATTGTCAAAGGACGATTTAGGGCTTTTAAAGTGCCTTCGTAAAAATTTTGTTTAACCTCTAATGCTCGCAGTGATATCTACTTGGTGCAAGCTTGTTAATTTATGCCAAGTTTGGTCATGTAATTGAGTGCCAGTTGCTTGAGGCATAATTAGTCGCAGCAAGTTTAAACAGTATTTGCGCAAATTTACCTCTTATCTTAAACCTTGAAATAGGAATAGATTTTTTCCAGGTGTAAGTTCTAGTCGTCAACTGTGACTGTACCAGAATTTTCACTAGAATACTATTTTACGATTGCAAGACCATTAAGTTTTGATTCCCGCTAATTTTTCTGTAATTATGTTAATTAATCTGACTAATGTCTAAATTTAGCGGCATCATAAGTTCAATAAGCTTTTATTTTTACAAAATCGGGTATATTATAATAATGTGTATTATTGATTTGACCTTTTAGCAGCTTTTTGTCTTGTGATAACATTTATATGAGAACTGACCGACCAATTATATGGAACATGATTTTTGAAATCAACCAATGAAAATAAGACAAAGTAGCGACAATTCAATAAGTGTGTGAATTTTGCCAATGTTGGTTTTTGTCTTGTGATGGAGACTGATTACAAATACCAGGCTGAATATGCAAAAAGCAACCGTTCCAGTTGCAGGTCCTGCAAAAACACGATTAGTATGGGGTCTCTACGGATGGGAACTCTCGTACAGTCTCACACTTTCGATGGGAAAATGACCCTGTGGTTTCACTACAGTTGCTTCTTCAAAAAATCGAAAGTTCTTCAGACAGCAGACATTAAAAATTTTGATGGCTTAAAGTTTGAAGACCAAGAAAAAATCCGGGCTGAAATAAACAGTGAAAAGTTTGATTTGACAAACTTTGGTGTTAAACCTAACGCAGACCTATCGAACAAGTGCTCGTATTGCTCAAAAATGATAAAAGTACGTCATCCCTTACTACTTCTCATTACCTTACCTAAGGATCCTTTCTTTGTTGACGGAAAATCGCGAGAACTTGGTACGTCTTACCATGCCAAATGTTTCATGAAAAAGTATCCAGGAACAGAGTTTTCAAAGTAGATTCCTTTTCATTAAAATTTAATGCCTTATTAGGATAAGCGGTCTGAGTAAACTGAAGGCACAGGAAAAATTTGACCTGCTGGACGCCGTGGCTAACGTTAGACCGTAAGTTTTCGCTCGTATTTTAAATTTTATAAATTGTGGAATCACCTGGAATGATAAGACAGTAAATCATGTCAATTGATCGATGTCTGTTAAGTATGTTGAGCATGCAGCACCTACTCTCGTTTGGTTTTGTGCTAAAATTAAATCTGGCACCAACAGATGTGGTGTTCGCCACTGCAACGTTCTACAATGTTTGATCTGCTTAACGTCGCATGCATTTTTGAACTGCTACGTTATTAGTTCATGCGATCAGAGGTTTTTGCAGTAGTCTACTATAGTGAATATTCATGGCCACGTGTGTCCATAATACGTCCATTTTCCTGGTGGTGTGAATGTGCAACTTTGAGCACTTCTGAGCCGAATATTCCTCTGTTTTACTTCACTTATTTTCCTACAACTAGCGACCAGAAACCCTCAACATCAAAGTGCGTTTAATTCTGTTGCATAATTCCAATTTCCTTCGCGTCTTGCTTTCACCTCATCTGCATGATTTCTCAGCCAATTCGCCTTTTACTATCATAGCTTTGCCTTACCCAACAGTCGAGCCAGTACCACAGATTTTTACCATCCACTTTTTAGACCTTCGAAGAAGCGAGGTGCTGAAGATAGCGAGAATTCTGAAAATGTTGCTCCGTCAAAAAAATCCAAGCTTTCAAAAACCACAGACGACTCTACAAAGGAGGCCCTACGAGTGAGTGATTGATTTGTGAGCCCTCTTCACCAATCAGCTTCTAATTCGTCGTCTGTTTGACCTTTTAGAAGCAAAGCGAAAAGCTCTGGCATTTGCGGAGCAAACTGGAGGCCGAGGTGTCGAAGAACGCGCTGATTGGTCTGTTGGAGTTCAACGACCAACACGTCCCCACTGGTCTCGCGTCCCTCCTCGACGCCGTCGTCGATGGCATGCTGTTCGGCGCCCTCCTGCCCTGTCCCGAGTGCAAATCGGGCGCGTTGACCTACGAAAACGGCAGCTATCGGTGCAAGGGCATGGCCAGCCAATGGGCGCGCTGCACGTACTCCACCATGGAGCCTAAGAGACGCGCTTTTAAGGTCCCCAAGCAGTACCACGACGTCGAGTTGCTGTAAGTGCTGTTGTCCTCAGATATCGACTACTGGTATTAGGTGTGCAGCTTGATTTCTACAGATTTTTTCTCGAAATTTTGATTGGATTTTAAAAATTGGAATATTTTTAGTGCCTTTTGTGATTGTGAAAGGATCGGACACAAGGTTTCAGAGCACCGGACGATAAGTTGGCGTGAGTTACCTAACCTCTCTGAATAGCACACTTTATGACGACGGCACCTGGTAAACAACGTCGAAGAAATGCTCTTGGAGCACGTAGGGTGTCAATTTGTAGTGTTCTAGGTGCGGAAGTAGTGTGTTAACAGACGCGTAACTGTTCGTACAAACGGTTTAGAAGTGGTGATTTTGATCTAATTGACAAGCCGTGAATCCAGATAGCAGCCACGAGAGTTTGACGATGACTCTACGGCGAGGACTCAACGTGACTGCGGCAGGAGTTAGCAGCTCAGTTAGGAGTCGCCAAAACTGCGTTTGGACAGATTTATAAACCTGGAACTGGGCTCCCCACATGTGTTGGTGGAACACAACGTAGGCCAACATCTGAACACATGGCCTTCACTGCTTGCCCGCTGGCAACAGGCCGTGAATGAACTTCTTGTGGAAAATTGTGGCAAATGATGAATGTGAGAAGAAGAATATGATGGTGATGATGGTGAAGATGAAGAAGGTGAAGAAGAGGAAGAAGAAGAAAGGTCCTCCTGTGTATCTGGTTGCGGGTCTTGGATGGTGTATTACCAATTCCTGCGATCTGGTCACCAGACGGTGACTGCTCAATGCCAGAGAACAGAATTGAACAATCTGAACAAAGAGTTTGACTAGAAAAGACCATTTACTGGGCAAGGAACCAGGCGCGTCATACTGCTGCTGCTGATGCTGCTGCACGATAACACCCGACTCAGAAGACCCTCTTGAACGTGGGATGGCAAGTTCTTCCACACGCGCCACATCCACCAGACATCGCCCCACCTCCCTACTGCTAGTTGTTCCGGTCAATGCCGTAGCTTCAGCACGTCTAAGTGGATAACCAGTTCAAAACGCCAGACAATGTGCGTAAACTCTCTCGATGGTGACTTCAATGCCTCGAAGCCTGCATTCGTACGTTACCTGGGAGATGCCTCAGGGTCATATAAAAGGTCATACTAAAAACATTTGCTGATATCAAGCAGCTGTAAGAATCACACCCCAGCCTAGACATCTATTCGTTGATAACGATTATCTCTTTGAGTTCGATAAAACAAGCGCTTTACCATTCAAGAAATCCAACCAATCACCATTCGGCAAGTAGATTCTTAGCTGCAATTGGTTGCGTGCTCTTGTTATACGCTGGCGATTGGTCCAGACTCTAGCCTGTGTTTCTCACCACCCTAGTCGCACTTACAAGTACAAACCCCGGGTCCGCCTCTTCGCCGGTGACGCCGCGACAGGTGGAGGCCAATTCGACAAGAAGGCGCCTCTCGCGGGGCTGCACTTCCTGCTGGACCGCGGACCCTTCCACAACGACCTGACACAACGCGACCTCGCCGCGTCCATCAAGAAGTTGGGCGGGTCGCTGCTGGCCACGGTGAGGCCCTGGAAGTGCTTGCGTGTCTGGGAGCATCGTCTTCAAATAATCTGTCTCACAGTCCTCTTCTTCTTCACTTTCCAGGTGACGCGTGGTGGGGTCTTCGTGACAACACCAGTTGAAGACACGGAGACGAAGTTGGCTGCCCGCGCACGAGGCCTGGCGATGCGTCCGCTCTGTTCCACGTATCTGGACAAACTCGCCAAGGCGAAGACTTCGGCGGAGGTGCAGCAGCTGATCGACCAGAACCCCATGGCTGCCGCGTGGCGAGACGCCGATTCGTCAGCTGTATGTGACTTTTTCGTGAAACCGTCGTGGAATTGGTGGCTTCAAGTTGATTTGACTTATTTTTAAACAAACTCGTGTACCTTGCCGTTTCAGGCAATGAGGTGTAAGTTGGCATTGTCGGTGTTTGGCTTGTGCTCTCGCCTGCTCCCCTGTGCTCGCCACGCCATTTTGCTCGTTTTCTTGTAAACCCTCCGTGTTCCACATCATCTACACCCTCCTCCCCCCCACGCACACACACCTTTTTATCATCTTAGTGTGCTCCCTCTGTGTGTGTTTGTCAAACTTGGCGGCACGTATCCACTTGTAGAAGCCTTGATGTGATACTCGATCACAGCTTCTTGAAGTCCGCTAACATAGACTGCCTATCGCGTCACGGATGTGCACTGGAGTCGCGAGTGATTTTGGGTGTGTGACTTAATTTGGGCAGATTTTTTTATAAAAATATTGTCCATCCTCTGGTATAATCCTGTGCCAGTAGGAAGGTGGGGCGATGTCTGGTGGATGTGGCGCGTGTGGAAGAACTTGCCATCCCACGTTCAAGAGGGTCTTCTGAGTCGAGTGTTGTCGTGCTGCAGCAGCAGCAGTAGCAGTATGACGCGCGTGGTTCCTTGCCCAGTAAATGGCCTTTTCTAGTCAAATTCTTTGCTCAGATTGTTCAATTCTCGTCTGTAGCATTGAGCAGTCACCGTCTGGTGACCAGGTCGCAGGAATTGGTAATACACCATCCAAGACCCGCAACCAGATACAGTAGGACCTTCTTCTCCTCCCCCTCCTCCTCCTTCTCCTTCTTCTTGTCCTTCCTATTCCTCTTCTTCTCCTCCTCCTTCCTCCTCCTCTTACTCTTCTTCCCTTTCTTCTTCTGCAAGTTAATATTTTGATTCGGCGTTAACTCGCATTCATCACTTGCCACATTTTTTTCACAAAAAGTCTATTCACTCCTTGTTGCCAGCGAGCAAGCAGTGAAAGGCGTGTGTTCAGGTGTTGACCAAGCAGATTGGGTTCCATCAAGTTCCAGGATTTCAAACTTGTCCAAACGCTGTTTCGATGACTCCTAACTGGTCTGTAAGCTCCCGTTGCGTTTTCGTTGAGACTTCATCCAGTGGAGCTGGCAATTCCGCATCTTCAAGCTTTCGACGCTGCTGTGTGGGTTCAGGCCTTGTCACTAAGATCAAAATCACCACTTCTGTACCGTTTTCTGTGTAGCCTTGCCTCCGATCCTTTCAAACCACCCTTTCACCGCGAGACTACTTTAAGTTGTGATCAGTAGTAAAATCTGTGCAAATTAATTCACACACCTAATATTTCGTGTGCGCGGCGTGCCCCTCGTTGTCTGCCCGTGCTGAATCCGTGTGCGCAGAGGCCTTGCAACAATGCCTAAATCGATGCCTCACGTTCCAGCGGAGTCGTCCGATTCGACTGCAACGCGGCAGGGCGAAATCGAGCGGGAGATGGTGAAGATGCGCGTGAAGGGCGGAGCCGTGGTCGATCCCGACTCGGGATTGGTAGATCGCGCGAGCGTTGCCAGGGACGACGAAGGTCGACCGCTCTCCGCCGTCCTCGGTATGGTGGATCTGGTGAAGGGCTACAACTCCTACTACCGGTTAGTCCAACTTAGCCCATGTCTTCACTGCCCCAAAACGCCGCCTGCCTCGTATATTCCACGTGTCTCCGCAGGTTGCAAGTTCTACGCTCAGACGAGAACCCCCAGAAGCACTGGTTGTTTCGATCGTGGGGCCGCATTGGCACCGACATCGGCGGCAACAAGGTGGAGCAATTCCCCAGTGTCCACGGCGCGCTGAGTTTGTTCAAGGACCTCTACGTGGAGAAGACTGGAAACGTCTGGGGCACGACCAGGCAGGACTTCAAGAAGGTGCCCTTCCGCTTCTACCCTCTCGAGATGGACTACGGTGAAGTGGGTCGTGCGTTTGTGGAACTTGGAGGTGTCGGCTTCCTCCTTGTCAATGTCTTCGTCTTCTTTTCTTCCTGCAGGACGACGAGGTCGGCAAGAAGTTGGAGGTTGTCCACCACGTGGAATCGAAGCTGCATGTGCGTCTGCAGGCGCTGATGAACTTCCTCTTCGACGTCGCGTCGATGAATAGAGCTCTTCTCGAGTTTGAGGTAGGTGGTGGTCTTGGAAGCACCGTCGACTGTGAGTTGCTGTTGATCTCCTGAATCTCCAAACTCTTTAGATCGACGTGAGGAAGATGCCGCTTGGCAAGATCTCGCGCGTGCAAATTCAGGAGGCCTACAGCGTGCTTAGTGACCTCTCCAGCCTCGTGGAGGACCACGTCAAGTCCAGCCGACCCATCGAAGGCTCCGACAAGAGTCGACTGATCGGCGACACGACGCGGTTCTACACGCTCATCCCGCACGACTTCGGCTTGAAGTCTCCGCCGTTGCTTGATAGTCTAGACGTCATCAAGACCAAGTCCAGAATGCTGGAAGACCTTTTGGAGCTAGAGGTGGCGTATTCCCTTATGAAAACCGGTGACTCCAGCGTCAATCCACTTGACGAACAGTACGAAAAGCTGAAGAACAAAATTGAGGTGGGTTTCGTGGTAATTTTTTGTTCAAACCGCGTCTAGCCCCTGGAACGTGACTCGGAGGCGTTCAAGCGGATTGTGGAGTATCTGCGCACGACGCACGCCGCCACACACTCCAACTACACCCTCGAGGTGGTGGACATCTTCGACGTGGAACGCGTCGGCGAAGCGGAACGCTACGAACGCTTCCGATCCCTGGACAACCGCATGATGCTGTGGCACGGCTCGCGGCGCACCAATTGGCCTGGCATTCTGTGAGTTGTTGGTCCTTCCAGAAGGTTCCACGAAACTCCTCCTCCTCGGGGGTGTTGACGTGTTGGTCTTGTTGGTAGGGCACAGGGACTGCGCATCGCACCGCCTGAAGCGCCCTCCACTGGCTACATGTTCGGCAAGGGTGTCTACTTTGCCGACATGGCGAGCAAGTCGGCCAATTACTGCTTCGCTTCGCGTGACTCCTCTCGCGGTTGCATGCTGCTCTGCGAGGTCGCCCTAGGCAACATGCAGGCCTGCTTCGCCGCCAACGACAGCCGCCTTCGCAAGGGCTTCAATAGTCGTAAAGGTGATAACATTGCTACTTAATTTGTTTAAGTAGTTTGTGTATTTCGCGCAACGATTGGCCAATCGGTCGCGATCGCTGATTGGCTGCTGCGCCCAACCAATCATTCCGCTGCATTTTTTGTGTAGGTGTTGGAGCTACTTGTCCCAGTTCCGAGACGTACTACACCGATCCCACCAGCGGTGTTGTCTACCCCATCGGGAAACCGGTCACCTCAGCTGACGTCAAGAGCGATCTTCTCTACAACGAGTACATTGTCTACGATCCTGGTCAGATCAAGCAGAAGTACCTTGTTTGGTTGGATTTCAAGTTTAATTACTAGCTGTTCGATTATGGTGCTTCATTGTGCGTGGAATGTTGCAAGATTTTATCATTCAAAGTAAAGATTTATGTGCAGTCTTCTGATTCTCTCACTTCGGCCAAGCATTTATTGGTTTTTTTTTGTGACCGGTTACATAAGTTTCCGTATCTCTAACGACAATATCCCGCTAAAGGGATTTGGGATGCAATTTTGCATTCCTTGCCAGAAATCTCCCTAAATAATGTCTACTTATTAATTTAAGTAGGTGTAGGCAGGGCTGGGGAAAGGAATTATACTCATCTGAATCAGAGCACATTTTTTGCCGAACAATTTGACATAGACAGGTATATCAAAGGGACAATTATTGAGGTTTCAAGGCTTGAGGCGACATCACGAACTGTCGTCGAAATTACCTGCTACCCATAGTATTATAGTAGCACGTAATAATGGGCTTTGGAGACGCGAAATTGCCTTCGTTTGCATGGTTTGTTGTTGGTATTCACCAACACCAGTGAAAAGTCTGGTTGCCGCCTAGTCATTGACAAATTCTGCAGTCTGTGTATTGATTAGTTTGTCCGTCGCTGCTATGGCCCAATCACTTTCCGCCAATCCGGTTGCCTAACTGGATTGTGCAAATGTAATTGGCTAACATCTCTTTCCATGTAAAATTCGTATTTGCGCCGAAAAGGCGATGGGTTTTTATTGGTCATTCATGGACATTTTAAACCGCAATTTGTGTTCGGCTTTAGTAGGTGTTCAAACGCGCGGAGTTCATTAAAAATTGTTGTCTAATGTAAAAAAAACTGTATTTTGACTGTGTTTCGTGGTGTGAGAGTTCTAAGATCAACAACTCGTAGTGTTTAAGCGTATATAATCATCGTATCCAGGCTGGACTGTATCACAACGCAGACAAACATTAATTGCACTTGTGTTCTTGTCTTGAAAATTGTTTTTTTTAAATAATTAACGATAGACCCATGTGATTGTTGTAGCGTAGTTTACAGAAATGAAGCTGAATTCTAAGCTAACCTTCCTAAGCATCAGTGCGGCCCAAATAACCAGTCGAATTTGGTTAGTGCGCTGTTTGCAGAAAAGAAGCCTGTGTAATGGGCATTTTATTAAACCTATTTATGGGAACAGCGTACTCCAATAATAGTACAAATTGGGCCGCATATGTACTATTATTAAATAGGCAAAAACAAGTACGTTCTTCTAACACAGCCGCATAAAAAAAACACAGTTCAAATAAGATGTGCTCACATTTTGAAAAAAGTCGCTTCCTTCAAAGATTACTTTTCAGCTTACTTGAGAGTCACGTTCGAAAGAGTTGCAGGCACACGAAATGTGGAATTGACGTGTTTAGAAAATGATTCAGCCACGCCGCGCATGACTGTGGGTTGCAGTAAAACAAAGTTTTGTGAGTTAAAACAAACGGAGTGCGATTTGTTTGTAGAAAAATACTTGCTTGTGCGTGTGTAGACTCCCTTCTGAATCATAGCTGGACGCACACAGAAAAAGAGGTTTTTTGTTTTCTTTCAATTGATGCCCTGATTGTCAGTTAGTATTCAAGTGAGTAGTTAGTAGTATCGCAGATTTCGGCTCCAGTACTGGCGATGCCTCGGCCTGTCCGGCGTCAGTGCCAAGTGGTTCCACAAAGCACCCCTTGACGTTGAAGGCAGTATGGCGGCGTTGGATGTCACCTCGTGCACGATTCGCATGGATCGGCTGCCTCGCTTCGCCTCCTCGTAAGCGATCAGCTGACGCCAGAATCCGAGGTTCGGTTGAATGCACGGTCGGATGCCACGAACGTGGTGGTAGGCGTCAGCCAGACTCATCTTCTGGTGTTTGATGAGGTACGCGAGGACGATAGTTGCCGACCGCGAAATGCCAGCCATGCAGTGGACCAGAGTGCGACCACCGTGACGTGCTTCTCTTGCAATTCTCTCGCCCACAGCGTCGAAGTGAACTCTCAGGTTGGAGTACTCCGCGTCCTCAACCGATATTTGAACGTGTGAGTTCACCGTGGAGAGGATATCTTCCGGCACTGGATCCATCATCACGGAGATCAACTGTGTCACTCCGAGGTGGATCAGCCGTTTCGGCGACAGGGCCTGGAGACCGCTGAGGTAGAGGTGATCGTTGATTCGAGCAATCTGGCTGTACATACTGTGGTTTGTGGATGAGTAATGCGCGTGATCGTCGCCCAGACGGGAAGTCTGTGATCGTCTTGACCTAGTCCACGCTGATGGTGTTGTTGGCAGGTAGTAGCTTAAACCCGCCATCCTGCCTGATGCTGTGTGCGCGCAAATTTGCCTGTTCAAATCGCGCGCGCACTCGCTGAGCCAACGCACTGCCTTCGTGGATTTGATTTGCGCGCCGCAGCACAGCCAATCGCTTGGCCCGATTATTCCAGCAGTCACGTGGGCTTCTACGTGACTGGGCACAAGACGTTTTGCTCGCAAAAGAAGACGATTCGTAGAGTCCTCGTAGGACACTAAATTTGGGTGAAAATTCCGACAACGTGTACAAAAAAATCAATGTGATTAGCCAATTAGGTTGCTAAGATGGCTGCATTCGATTATTTTGATTGGATGAGACCGTTAGATCTGTTAGTTGCCCCGTAAATGACGAAAATGTGCTTCACACTTAGGGTACTGTAGTTAGCTGGAAAAAAATCACACGACGATTACTCACATTACTAACATGGGCTCTAGCAGAAACTGCGAAATACGAAATCTCATTGGCCAATGAAATCACGTATTCAACAGTTTAAGTCAATGTGGCTTCTGTATTTACACCAGTGGTTGACAGAATGTATCAAGATTATAAAACAATGATACAGTAGTAGATTCCGATCCAAAACATTTTTTTGACTTAAATTTTTGGACTCCATTTTGCGTGAAAACGTGGTTTTCAATTCAGCCGCCATTGATCTGAGAGCTAGCTCTGATGCTAATTGCTGCAATTAATCAAACGGTGCTTCTTTTCTTTTCAGAACACGCCGCATGTGTACCTTCAAATGCCCTTGACATAACTGGAACAAATATCCAAGAATTGCTTGCAATATGTCGACGTGTTGGGTACGCACATCAGTATAATTTTCCTTGAGTCTGACGGCGATTGTGGAATCGTACTTGGTAACGTTCATTCGATGGCAACCTAGAGACTGTCGTATTTAATTTAAGACAAATTCAGAGGACTAACAAACAAGCCGACTGCGATTCTTCGGTTTGGGCTGTAGTTTATCGATTTTTGCGAATGCGTGGGATTATCGATCGATTTGCCAGGCGCGCGCTGCTTAAGCGCGAGCACGAAGACGTGACTGTGTTGGCATTCTGACATTTGGCAGCCCACTCGACTGTAGCTGGCGTCTTTCTAGAATCTGTTACGAAAGTCATTAGAAAAAGTAACTAGCCGTATCTTATTCTAGTCTGTTTAAAAATCGATGATTACGTGGATAGGTTTCATTAACCCAAGCTGTATTTTTTTATTGACATCGCTAAATGAGTCAGCATTCTTCTCCTGCAGATTCAGTCCACTGTGGCAACTTAATCTTCAGTGAATCGAATCTGGTTGTCAAATCATCCATTCCGACTACTTACAATATTTTTTCCTCACTAAAGTACTTTTAACGAGTTGTTCTGCCTACAGGTAAACTCGAGTCAGCCAGTGTTTTTTATTGGATCGTCCTCTCGATGGCTGCACACGATTGGTTAATTTAAATCACTGACCCCATCGGTCACGTGCCGGACTGCCACATCTCACCGTGGTAAACATTTTTGTTGTCGTAAACGTCCCCAGAACGTGGTGTCACTGGTAAGTCACGTGCTTTCAAATTTGCACAAAATGTTGTCGAGCCCAAAGTTAACTCCCCGTATTTTGGTGTCGTAAATTATTTCACTATTTCAATTGGACCAATCAAAACGATTTGGCTTGTAATGGTCCAAAAACACAAGATGCCACTTTTGTGGACTAAAGCTTAATTTGGTTTTTTTTCCGAAAGATGTTAATAATTTCTTATGCTAATTTGTCGAATATTTTCGAAAATTTGATGTAAACCAGAATTGGCCAATTACGCATGAGTAAGAAAACCGCCATTTTTAAATTTTAGTCATTGTTGTAGAATGAAACTAACTAGTTATATGCGGAGACCAGTATAACTTCGCTGCATTCGATAAAATGGTACTGTAAGGATGCTGTCGGACCTTTGCCATGGTAACCGGGGTCGTTTGGCTTACGAAGCACTTTTAGCTGGGGAACCAGGCGGAGTAGCTAAGGAAAAATAATTTTTTTCGTGTAGAGCTGACAAGATATCTTTACTGTCAACATTGATTAAAATGACAAACAGGCAGAAGCAACGATGCAAACTAGGCAGTGTGAGATATTTTTCTATGAAAAAAAAGACAAAGATTCGGTTCTCTTCATCGAGGTAAATGCGCCAAGTCATGGGAAACGGGTTCAAGATCCGCTTTCCCACTGGCGAAGAGAGCGTTTTGCGTGGGAACACAATTTCACGACTCCCACACAAATTTCAGAATCTCTCTACCTGGTCTAAATATGTCCAAATGCTTTTGATTGGACAATTTCTGGCCAATAAAATAACTAGGTTTTCTAATTAGGATGGCAAGAATGCACTTTAGGTAATTAAAATAAATTGCACCACTTATTTTGCGTTAAATTAATGTGGTAATTTAATCTAATTAGGCAGAGCGAACATGAATAAGCTGATTCGATCGGGCCAATCATTATTTGTGACATCCATCCTGATCAAACGCCAATCAAAATTGATTTGCCACCAACATGACCAATCAAAATCGAGCGTCACAAAATCGGCTGGAAACTTCCTCGATTTAAACAACAAATTGCGCAAAGTTTAGTTGAGTGCTAATCACCTAGACTGTGTTGAATTGCATTTTAATTACCTCGATTCACATATTTTGAAATCATGTGTCTCAGCTGCTCATTGACTAACTTTTGGAGGTGCTGCGCGAGAAATTTTTAGCCGTGAGATTTACCTTATCGCGTGACATTACCAGCGAAGAGGACTTTTGGGGTGGGCAAAGTACACTGCTTTCCCGAACCATAAGCATCTTCTCAAGGGTCACGTGATTAGGTTCGTTTACGGGCATTGCCTTATCCGGCCACACCCAACCAATCAGCTGCGACTCAATGATTGGTTGAGTGTAGAAGGCATCGCTAATCAAGTCTGGATTGAGGTTAAATTGTAAACTCACTGGTTGACTAGCAGTAAAAATAAGTAAAAGATAAAGACAGCAAGCAATTGGTCATCCAAAAGTCTGCAAATTTTCACACTAAACCAAATTACTAGTAGCTCGTCCCCTGGAATTCTTCGCCCGGCGAAAAATGCCAATTTGGTCTCAATCGACCGACTCGTGAATTTCATTGGCTGCTCGCGAACCAATTGCAGTGCAGATTGACGTTTTCGGCCACTGATCCACTTCTCATGCGTTCTTCGCGACATTTCATTTGGTCATTGAGTTCAGTTCGCGGTTTTTTTCCACAACTTGTGGTCTTTGCAGCATTAAATGAAACTATATGCACTTGCCGTGAAGCGGCTTGTGCACAAATATAATTAAGGCTGGTGCATCTTTGGTAATGCGCACTTTTACCCACCAAGGCAATCCGCTACATTTTTAGCGACGCAGACTCAGCTTCAAGGTCGCTCACGAGGTCCTGGGGTGATGATTTGACAATTTTTTTGCATCAACTTAAAATAAATGAAGGTCGTAAGTACAACTATCTCAAATTGATTAAAAACGTCACATGAGACTGCAACCGAGGACCACGGCGTGATTAGAATTCAATTGACTCTTCTTCTTCTCGCTGATTGGTCGGAACTCAAAATGGCGGCAAACGTTTGATCATCCCCAGGCTCGTTGATTAATGCAGGGACTGTTTATCGTATTTGTGAGCACAATTCGTAACTTGTAGGTCGATTATTCTCAACGCTCATTGGTTAGCAGCCGTAGGTCAGTAAAATGACTTTGCTGGTTACATTTTATTCGTCTTTTTTAGAATAAAATGATGATCGAATCAAAGAAAATGACGTTTCCGGTTGTTCTTTTTACAAATCAACATTTTAATTTTTCTTTTGAATAAAAATTATTACTTTTTTCAGCTTAAATCAAAGGAAAATTCTATAGCTTAGTTTGAAGAACATGGTGTCATTACAGCCAATGTTTAAGTGGGCGATTTGAGTTTAAATAAAGCAGGGTTGAATCTGCGAGTCTGAATTTGAAACGGCGGTCGAGGAGTTAGGAGATTCGCCTACAAGACAAAAGCCGTTGCCATGGTAACGTGTTAACTTGGAGCCTGCTTCAAGGACACTTTGGTGAACAATGGCGTTAGAGAATGCCAATGCCACAAACTACGCGCAATTTGTCACTAAATTAATTTGCAAAATGAACTTAGTGCCATTTTAGTTAACACAACCCGCCACCTTCCAAAATCAGGCAGATTCTCTACGAAGCATTAAGGACTGCTGTCGAATCACCATCAGCCAATAGGAACAGGGATTTAGGCTAATGCATCAAACGACTTTGGTCTAAATAATTCTAAATCTTGCTTCGGTATAGGTAAATAGTCAATGGGGACATGGTAAATCCCTAATTGCAACTTTAACCCAAGCACAGAATTTTCACATTCAAATCATCCGCACCTACCCTCATTGGCTCACTCGCCTTTCAAGGTCACGTCATTCGTTTAGGCACACTTTTCGAGTTATACTTCCCAAATTTATGGCTGCAAGAGAAGGTGAAAATCAATCTGGAAATCTGTTACCGTGAACAAGTGAAAAGTCTTAATCTATGGACTACCACTACCACTAATTTGACGTGGATGCACTTTGACTGAAAGTACCAGGTTGAACGATGGTACCGCAGTCACTTCTCGTTCTACACGACAGCCAATCGATCAACGCCTAAATCACCTCTAACTTGTGTTGATCAACGTGGAAGCGTGGAAAGGAAGGAGGAGAATTCAAGGTACTGCTGAAGTGCTGGATCCATTGAAAGCTCAGTTATGTGAATGGTTGTGTAGAAAATCACCCTGAGTGCCTGAAATTCAGACAAACCGCCCAACTTCGATCATTCGAAAAGGTCGCTTTCCATCACCATGGCAACCCCAGACCTCGTGTTGCTCAAACCACAAGGAATAACTGGGATTTAAAGTGGCGCACGCTCCAGTTGCGCCCATTGTGTTCACTGAACTTGTCACTTCAAATTGTCGCTTGATTCGTTTTTAAAAATTGTTTAATTATTAAAGCATTCAAATCTGTGGCAAATTCTCCATACCTTTTTTTGAGAAAATACAGCGAAAAATAACAAAAAAACAGGTGATTATCATTGAAGAACTGGTGAAGAGTTTATTATAAAAAAGTGATTTAATATTTTGCCAAAATTTGGACGCTAATTTATTGAAGCACTCATTTGTTGCTCAGTTTTTTTGTGCAATAAGTAACCATCATTTAAGTTTTGACCGCTTACGTAGCATCTCTCCGATTGGTTTTTTCTACTGTCTCAAGGTCGCCGTAAGAAATCGCGCAAAACGCAATTTGGACGCAGTCTTTACAAGATATATTAAAATTAGCGAATGTAGGATAATTGACTCTTGGTATTATAAGTGCATGAAAGACGAGTTTCATTCTTCTGATTTCAAAATCAAAAGCTGTTTGAATGCTTACAATGGTTAGGTTTATTTTGAAGTCGAAAAAATTTCAAACTCTTCTCAATGCAAAAACACACATGTCGGGTTAAAGACAAATTTACAAAAGTCTCGGACATTTTTAAGGGCTTTAGGAAACACTATTGGTAAAAACAAAACAGACAGTTTCTAGTAAATAATAACGTTAGAAAAACAAAAGTAAAACACGTCTTTTGGGATTATTGACTTATTGGCAATCTGTTTATGCGCAAATTTGTCTGACTATTGTGGCCGGTTGCCATGGTAGACGGCTACTATGGTAACAATTTGTCAGGTCTGTTTCTATTTAGTATCACCTACGATTTGCTGAAAGCAAAAGACTTGATTCTTACTGAATTTCGAGTTATTCATATTGAGTATTGTTAAATGAGGACTGCAGAAAGCAGTAAATAATTTGGCAGAAATATCAGCCAATCAAATTCTAGGGTGTTCAATAGAATATGTGAATAAAACTGGTAAGCAGCTCGAGATTTCGAAAAAACTACAACCTTGACTTCAGAGCTTGAATTTTTAAAAAAACATATGAGAGCATTGATTGGCAATTAGCACCTTTTATTACATGTGAATGATTTTCATGTTGTAATGTGAAAGCGTTAAATAAAAACAATATGGCTCTTTGGAAGAAAAGTCCTTATTATTTAACAGGTGGTGTTGTAGGAAATTTGATTCTATTAATTAAAGTTTGTGGCTCGCTCTCAAATAATTCATATTTACCACAAAAACTAATATTTTAAGGAGCAAAATGAGTTACAATGTCTCAATAGAAAATTACAACTTTTCTAATTATGAGCCAACTAAGGCCTTAAAAATGATTTTATCCTATCATCAAAACATCAAAACTACATGTGTGCTGCAGAAGTCTAAATCTTCGCACACTAGAGCCTTTTCTACGCTTTACTAAACTTAACTTGCATTAATTATTTACGCAGTTTAGTGTACTGGACCCATGTGTCTGACAGAAGTACAACCAAGGCTCCGACTGTTGTTTTTTAATTAAGCTCAGGAAAAGCCGAATCATAAAATATGAAATAAACGATAGCTATTTAACGTTGTACATTTTACTCCACAAATTGTGAATGTTTACGTGGATAATATGTGCCTTCTGTAAAGAATTAAACACGTAATAATATGTCAGCATACATTTTCTAATAAATTAAAGTAAATGTAAGCATTTCGTGAATTGTAAGATAATCCAGGACGTTGTTAACTTAAGAACTTCGAGGTGTGCTATCCGATTGAGTAAACAACGGCTGTCAGGGTTAAAAAAATTTCTTTATTTCAAAATTAACCGTTATTTGATATGTCTGCAACACTTAATTTGCTTCATTTAAAAATGAAAAAATGTTTCTGGTTCAGCAGATTTCGATGCTGCTTGTGTATGTCAAAATTATAAGCAAAATAAATGTTGAGTGAATTAATATAAGAATATATGATAATGTACTCAGGAAGGCCATTTTAAATCATTAAAAGAAACTAGCAGTTTAACACACACGTTCTACTTTTTTAATTACTTATATTGATATACGATCGAATTTGTTATACTTGAAATAAAATTCCAGACAAAAAATAGGGAAAATGCACTATTTTCCATTCACACTTTAATCGTTAACATAAATGTCATTTGTTAATTTTGATCAAGGTAAAGCTAACCTTTTTTTATTTTTAATCTGCAAGAACAAAATTGTTATAATGACCTACCGTTCTTTAACCTCGGCCATTTCGCGCTTAATTGATCTGTGCATTATTTTTTCGCTTGGTCGCTTGCGATGTCGTTGAACACCGAGAAACCGGTCCCTAAGTACATGAAATTTGTACTTGGAGGGTCTGCAGGGTATGTTCTGTTATGGCTTTATGAAATCGGTTTTTTCACCGTGGAATATGTTTTGTGGTCAATAACGCCAAAATCGTTTTTTTCAAATTGAACTCTCGTGTTGCTGAATTCAATAAATATCATCAATTTGCTGTGCTTTAATTAATAGTAGTGTAAATGCATCTACTCTAAAATAAGTTGCTGAAGATAAAATCACATTTAGTCCTGTTCTAGTGTTACTTTTTTATGGAATAGGGGGACAGTGAAATTTTGTAATGGTCTTGCTGTAAATTTTTAAAGACTCAGCATGGAAAATGGCATTAAGCACATAATTCTAAATGCAAAGTATGCAATGTTGGTTTTTACGTTTATATACTTTCAGTACAATCGCTTCAAGTATTTCAAATCAGTTATTCGTTTTGGATTATTCTTTTCGGTTTTTATGGAAACTTGTAATGCTTAAGCTATATTATTGTCTTAGTCGTCGCTGCGGTCACATTAATGCACTTTATTACAGTTTCGTCTCATTTATTGACGTATGGTGGCCAGGAGGCAAATATATATTGGTGTAGGTTTGAATTTGCTGCATTCTTCGGGTGTTTGGCTTTTTTGACAAATACGTTCACCTACTGATATCATTTTGAAGCCAAAACAGGCTTGACTACTTCTGTTTTCGTTTATTTCTGTTTTAGCATGCTGGCTACCTGTGTTGTTCAGCCCCTTGATCTGGTTAAGACACGAATGCAGATCAGCGGTGCGTAATCAACTAATTATTTTTTTCTCATATATTTAAAGCATGCATCGTGACTATTGGTGCCAAGTGGGCAGAAAATTCTATTTATACCCTCTAGAAGAAGGCATCCATCGTATCACTGCCGAAAATGTCGTTCTTAAAACAATAAATTTTTTTGTTACAGATGAAGACATTTTCATAGTCGTTAAGCTCATTAGCAGACGCAGTCATATTGATCATCTGAGCACTAATGCGCCTGTGTGTGTGTAACCTTGACTTAACACCTAGATTGCTGGAGCTCACGGTCTCGTGTTATGTCACGTCCGTTGTTTAACCGATTTGTCGACATAAGCCAAATCATCTTTCTAGCTCCGAGTTCTTTAATTTCTGATTTGTATAAAAATAATTTTTTTCTTCAAAGTTTAGAGTTTAGCCTAATTGTCACAAATGCTGAATCGAAAACGCTGTAGTTAGCTTTTCCGAATGGGGTCCAGTTAAACGTTTTCTTCAGCATTTGAAATGACGCAGTCTCTAGATTCCGACCGTCTTCAAATTGTGGTTTGATATGATTGCTTGCACATCGTTTAGCATAACCGGTGTCTCCGTTTTCAGGTGAAGGAGGCGCCGCCAAGGCCTACAACAATACATTCCACGCCATCAAGACTATCGTCCGACAGGAGGGCGCATTCAAACTCTACACCGGGTCTGTTGTCTGTTCGTCGACTCAGATCGATATCACTCATTCCTATTGATTCGCTTTATCGACCCACGATTTAGACCTAGTTGCCCTATTAATCATCCAAGCTGACTTATTTAGCATACGGTCAAAACCTGATCGCTTGTAGATGTGAATTGGGTTTTAAGTCGCCAACTGTGTTCTCTGGTCGACTCTCTAAGAAATGAATACGCGTGTAGACGTCTTCAATATCTCACATCTGATTACCGACATGAAAGCGATTCGTCCCTTTTACGAAATCTCACTTAGTCGACGGCGTGAGCTTGGCACGTCATGCGTGTGGATTGCTGTTTTTTTTGTTTAAGACGACAGCAAAATCACGTCGACGTGTTAGGTTTACGTGCGTGTGAAACTGACAGACCCCTCCCCCCCTAGTAGTCTTTCTCGCCAATCGATATTCCCGTGATTTGTGTTCACTGTGCGAATACTACTCTTGCAGCCTATCAGCGGCCTTGCTGCGTCAGGCGACCTACACAACCGCACGTTTGGGCATCTACACGAGTCTGTTTGAATACGCCAGTGCGCACTCCAAGTCGAGCGGTCCTCCCTCGTTTCTCACTAAAATGGGCATCGGCCTGACCGCTGGAGTGCTCGGATCGTTTGTGGGCACCCCGACTGAGGTCTGTCTCATTCGGATGACCGCGGATGGCCGGTAAGGCTTTCGTGTTTCTTCTCCTTCCCCCCTCCCCCTAGTCTGTCAGTTTTCTGTCCTGCCTGAAGCCCGCTTACTCACGCCTCCCACGCTTCTTCAGACCGCTTTAAAACGCCCACTCACTTCGCCTTGATTCCCATCGAATGCGCCGGTCTCGTGGGATATTTTGGGTGGGGGGGACAGTAATTGCGCCAAAAAACCCGCTGTTTAGACTAAATTCGTCGCCGTGACTACGTGGGCTGTTAAATTCTTAAGACGTCTACTTTAATGAGCCGGCGTGATGCACACCCCGCGGGGTGAGATGCTGGTCTGCGGCGTGACCTGCAACCACTACCGTCATCTTTTGTGGTTTCGCCTGAAGCCGCCACGCTAATTACTCTGTCTGTATGAGTTCATTATTGCTCAGCAGTTGCCATGGCAATGCCTCGTCTAATTGGGTATCACTGAGGCAATTTGTTGGCCGCAGATTTAAGAACGAAACTCGTTTATTTACTCAAAAAAACGACTAAATTTCACTGGACGCCATCCTAATCAGTGTTTAATCGCGAGTTACAGATGTGTCACGCGTTGAACTCAGTGATAGTCAGTTTTTACAAGGTCAGGCCGCTTTACAAGCCAGTTAAAAAAAAACACGTGGGACGTGAGTTGTGGTAATCCACAAAATTTGTGTCAAAGTGATTGATAGCATCTTAAGGGGTGTTTGTTTCTTGCGCAGTCGGTGTCATTGGCGCGGAGTTGATTTCCTTCTCTAGTGCGTCATTCAAAACGTCGGTTTACTATGGGAAAATTACTTGTTTTTTTTGTAACCAGAATTCGCTAACCGCTGGAGTTAAGTGACTGGCACCTTTAACCGCGTGAGTCGCGCGGCAAAAGCGTTTTTTTTTCTTGGACTACGGCTAGCATATTTGCTGCTACAAAAACCTGGCAGATGTCATAGTTAAAAGTGGAAAACATCGGGATAAGGCAGGTGATTGCTTGTGTTTTTTGCCACCTCAAATACTGCCAGTCGTGTGGGTGCATGTGGCTCCACTCTGAGTGCCACAATCGTTACCTTTTCTTTTGTCACACCTTAATCGAAAAACAGAATCAAAAAAAGATAGGACTGAGCGTAATGTGTGAATTATCTTGAGTCGGGAATTTAAGAAACAAAATACCACCGCGATTCCGGAAACTCCAACTAATCCATCTGCCCGCGCCGTCAGGCCTTCTTCACGTGCAGTCTGACACCGATGCTGGAACGGTCGGCCAGTCACACCCCACAAACCATCCAATCCCGTCATAGGTCCTGTCGTCTTCCCATTGGTCGCCGCACACGCGCCACGTGATTGGCTGTGATGAGGGCCGTTGACGTCATCAGCCGGTGCGCGTGTGTGTGGGCGGATGGAAGGAAGGCCCTTTAGCGTCAGGGTGGTCCGAATTCATCACTCTCCCATGGTAACGCGTGAAGGCGATGTCAAGGCAATTGAGTGGGGGTCATGGTTTGTTTGCATTTCAGTCTTCCTGCGGCACAGCGGCGAAACTACACCAACGTCTTTAACGCCCTCTACCGCGTCTGCAAGGAGGAGGGACTGTTCGCCTTATGGAGGGTAGGTTGATCATCATCCACATTAGTTGACTTAAACAAAACCTAGCTAAAGCGTCGTTTACCAACACCTACGCACGAATCCGCTTCAGCGATGCTAGCGTAGTAAATAAGCAAAAAAAACGGTACGTTTCCGTATCCGGCCAAGTGCGGTTTGATTATGTGAGTGCCTGGATTAACGTAGCTTAGGCAAAAAAAGTACATCAGTAAACCGTGTGTCATCACAGTTTGTAACTTATCCCGGTGATTTACATTGGCGCGTGTACGCAAGGTGAGAAAAACAACAGGCTGACTGCGTTTCTGTAGGCTATTTTTGCCAAAAACCAGCTGCCACACTTCAAGGTCACCCCTCCGCCTATCTGATTGGCGGAATTAGCGAACACGACAGAGTGCAACATCCTTCCTCAGATTGGTTTTCTATAGTTACGCATATTGATTTAGGGTGCCGTGCCAACAATGGGTAGAGCCGCAGTGGTGAACGTCGCTCAACTCGTTTCGTACTCCCAATTTAAACAAATTATCCTGGAAAACGGTGAGTAACCCCAACGCCCTAGCCAATCAGAATGCAGGAGGCATTTATGTCATTTTTTGGCGTTTTTCTTTGCAGATTTGATCAAAGACGGCTTTGGCGTCCATCTGTCGGCCAGTATGTGCTCCGCTCTCATCACGACGGTCGCATCGTTGCCAGTGGACATCGCGAAGACGCGAATTCAAAACATGCGCACCATCAACGGTCGTCCGGAGTACTCTGGCATCTTTGTGAGTCATCTTAACCCCCCCCCCATCCCCTCACACCCTCCAGCTCCACGTCAGGCTGAGTTCCGTCCCCCGTTTTAGGACGTACTAGGTCGCACCGTGAAATCGGAAGGTGTTTTGGCGCTGTGGAAGGGCTTCACCCCCTACCTCTTCCGTATTGGACCGCACACCGTGCTGACGTTCGTCATCCTGGAACAGCTTAACTCCCTTTACAACGTCTACGTCCTCGGAAATAAGCCCGGTGGTGCGAAGAGCGGTCTGTGAATTGTACGTTTTTCTGCGCTAAAACGCTCCATCTACTACCTTTAATTAAGTAGCTCGTTATTTGTACATTTCCTTGTAGGCTCTGGACTTTGACCTCGGACCGTTGGCAACTGCAAATGCCGCGCTATTTTAGAAACAACATTTTGTTAGATTGGTTGTATAAATGTTGAATTTAGATGTTTTTTTGATTGTGTTTTTTTTAAAAACGATGGTGTGTGTTAGTTGCTGTTTTTCTTGCATTCATTCTAGTCACGAACAACATTCCTGTTTTTTTTTCACTTTCTGCGAACGCAAAATATGTTTGCTGTGAATTACTTGCCTTTTTGTATTATCTGGGGGTTTTGAGAAGTGTAAAATGTGTATTTATGCTTTCATCTATGCCGAATCCCAGAGCCAATCAAATTGATTTGAATTCGTTGACTAGAAGGAATGAATCATTGGTCGCCTTAATGAGTTCACCGTGATTGGTCTTTCGGGACTGTGTGAGCTCATAGGCCCATTGAACTTAAGCTGGATTCTGGGTGGATAATTTCGTGTTGCCCGCCAAATGGAGTTGGCCAATCCAAGCAACATATCTGGAGGCCTCCACCAGTAAGACTTGGCTAATTAGCCAATTGGTTGATGGCAATTGTAATGAGTACTTTCTACACCCTGCTTTGAAATTACCCCTATTAAGGATTTATTCTGTTTGTTGAAATTTCAACACACAGTTCGTGGATAAAATGTAATTTGCGCTGACCAATTAGCTATTCGAAAAAGTAGACACGTCAGCTTATTCATCTGCCCAATGATACCAAGCCAGGCACCAAACTAGCCAATCAGAAACATCCAGATGGTCAGAGACTGCGTCCGAAAGATCGAATCACTTGGCTTAGTTGTGGAGCAATAAAATTTGCCCTGTCTGATTGTGTTTATAAAATCAGAGCTGTATCAAACTGATTAAATTACTACCCGTGATTTCGCGGTTATGCAAACGTCGTCGACGGTTATTTACTACTCGTGTGTTTACTAGATACGATTTATGTGCGGATTCAGTGCACACATGCGCCCAGGCAACGTTCCTGCACACGAAAACTGATGGCTAATGTCAACCAAAACGAATCAGGGGTACTCGTGATGCGATTGGATGATTTGTAATGCATGAGGTGATGGAGCCAAAAAGATAGAAGGGTAAGCGAGTGAGTAGTGGTCATCGCGGCAGACATCACGTGGATAAACACTAAATATTTAGTTTAAAATGAATATTCTGCACAGGGTTGAAGCGAATTTCATTAAAAATTCATTGCTACACTCGTGTTTCCTTAACTAACTCCTTCTTGTGCCCCATTCAAACTGGTTTTTGGTCAGCTAACATCATGACCAATAGGAGGCATTCAGAGCACGTTATGGACATGTCATTGGCTCAACAATCTGAGCGATATGTCGTCTGATCACTATACGGTCTATGTCAGACCAATCTGTCTTTTTCTCAAAATAACTTCTACTATTTGTTATATCAGTAGTAATTTACTATTAGTTTCGGTCAATTTTCCTGTCTCGTGTAAACGAGTGTTTGCTGAACAAGCCGGAATTTCCAGCAAGCTGATGGCGAATTGTTGGTCTGACATTTCATTCCCGGTTGCACGAGAAATTTCTGACTATAAAATGGCGGCGTTCTGCGCAAGTCGGAATTATCTAATGGCCATGTAATGAGTTATCGCGAAGACCATATTTATTTGGTATCTGAACTTACAAGGAGATTTAATGCAATAAAACACTCTCGTGCGCTTTTGCGAAGACTGTGTGACATTTATAGTGACCTATTTGATGTTTAAATACTAATTTTTCCTGAGCGCCGCATTCAACTTACTCGCGGACCATGAAGTTATTTGTACCGCTACAAATCGACCATTGGTATGTGAGCACTGAACTTGAATTAATTGTTCAAAACGTAAACGAATTTAAAATGAACAAAATTTGGCCAGCACCTAAAATGCACCAAGATGCCTGTTGGACGCCAAATTGACGTTTGATTTTTGAAGTTCGCGTGTGGGTGTGTGTGTGTGTGTGCATGCTGGCCTGCTATTGGCCAGGTAAGCGCTTGAAGGTCATTCGAAATACTGCGTGCCCACATATACAAACACCTCGTGGCACACTGGAGCCAGCATTAACCAATGAGGAGGGAGTGTGCAGCACGTAGATACGTGGCCAGTCCGATTTTTATGGATCAGTAATGTGACCGATGGCCGGCTGGCAGCTGGTGGTGGTTTGTATTCTGGCAAATCGCATATTCACTGGTGAGCCCACATTCAACCTATCCCCTTTACATAATCGATCGATTCTAACCAATGAAGTCACATCCAGTCCTGTTGACCTTGTAAACACTAGCGAAGTGTTTAAATAAACCGATTCTATTCACGGCGCATTCAGCGTAATAATCGTCCACGATAACATGTTAACCTAACTGCAACAATTATTTGACCATTTTTGCATATTATTTCTGCAGATGCAGCTGACAATTCAACAATATTAACATCAAACTCTACAGGTGAGTGTGTCTTTAATTATTTTTTGCAACATTTTATCACGAATACTTACATTTTGAAAAAGAAATCTTTGAAGACATGTACTATTTAAATAGCAAATAAGTATGCCGTTATTTTGTCCTTTTGTTAAATCAGCTGACCTCACAACTCCGTCACCGAGTTTCACACCGTCAACCAGTAAGTTTCTCCCGCTCATTATTTATTTAGTGGCACATTTCTTACCACAAAATATTGGCGTTGTTTCACGGCTATACAATTACCTCCAATAAACTCACTGCTTATTCGAACTAAGTAGCTGTTACGTTTTTGAAAGCTGAGACGCACACCACAGAACACCAGGTCAATTGCGTCCGCTGAATTCAATCACATACGTATATCTTTTAATGGATTCGACACAATCACTATATAATGCGTTTGTTCAAAGGAAAGTTCAAGGTCATCACCCAGAGTGGCAAATAAGAAATCGCTTTTTCTTCGGGCAATTTTGGACTTTGAAATAAATAGGCCGAAAATTGCTCTTTTTTGCACAAAAATTCGAAGCCACAACTTACGCTTTTGAACTACATTGTGGTAGATTACACAGATGCACGAAAACTGACTTGAAGGCGCATTATTTGCTGACCAATTTTATGCATATTTTGCATAAAACTTTTCTACTTTTTCGTAGAAGTGATCGCGGCCATTGTCATAACGATCTGCGTGCCAATCGTCCTTCTATCTATTATTTGCATTTGCAAGTTCTGCTGTTAACAGTGGTGAGTGCAGAAAATTGCCTCTTCAAATCCTAAAAAATCGGTCAATTTAATATTGCTGCTAAATATTTTAAGTAACGTGTATTTCTTAACACGGCGTATCACCGACTTATTGATGAGACCCTGGAGAGGAATGTCACGTAATTTTCAACTCGTCCACCGTGGATACCGAGGGATCGATTTGTCGAGTGATTTCAAATGGTGAAGAAAAGGATTGAAATTTGGACAGGTTATCGATGCGCTGAGTTCCCTAATCAATAGTTTGCAATTAATTGTCTAGTAAATTGAAATACATCGGTAGTGTTGTTTACTTGGAAATTGATTGGTTCCAAAGAGTCATTGTGTGTGTTTGAACGGTGATTGGGTCGAAGAAAATTAGCCTATCACGATGCTGTCAACCAACTCTCAGACATTCTGATTGGCTGAACGAGCTAATTGGGATTTCGTGTCGACTGACCTGCATTACTTCCATTTTTTTGTGCAATAACTGAAAACGTGAAGTTTAAAACTCCAAACGCCCAACAATTTGATGAAATGTTTAAAGCATTTGACAGAGTTTGTGTGAGGCGGTTGACTGTGTGTTAGCATGGCGACACCTGCGTGCTTTCGCGCACCTAATTATGAGTGCATGCCTTCGTGCGGTGGCTGATCAATGCGTCTAGACACCGATGGACGGCTTGAAATAGAATCCGATGACGGCTATTCAACTACTCCCACCCCCTCGTCCACAAACTAACTGCGTGGCTTGAGTCATTGTCATAGTGGTGGAACACCAGAAGTTATCGAGATTGCAGAAGCTTGTGCCAGACCCGGAAAAACCGGACAGTGTTTGAGAAGAACATTTCTCGACGTCTGCATCTTCACTGTTGTCTCCTGAAGCTCCAGTTTGGCAACTTCCACAAGACAGTAGGTCTTGTTCAACGCTAACCATCCCACAGACTCTGATTTGGTGTTGCTGTAACGATTACCTGGCTAACAGATCGACTTCCGCGTCTACATCATTAAAGGTCTCCGTTTGTGTCGAATAGGGCGTCAAACAAAGCACTGGATCTTGAAGGATTCCCCTAGAAATGGGCGTCACACGAAAGCAGCCACAAATTCGACGTGGCCAGTGGCATTTGGATGTCTGGATGAAGGTAGACATGATGTCTCTCCTCCTGCCTTAGCAACTCTGACAACGTGCTTTATCTTGTCCATCAACACCGACTGGCGAAATTCGGGGCAAAATGCCTGGATGTGTAGCTTGCGCGTGACCTTGGATGATCTTGGTTATTAGTGGACATGCGCCTACACTACCTGTAGCTGCCAATCAGAGAGCCGATACTCAAACCAATCTCCCGGCAACGTCTTCGTTACAACAACTGCGATCTTGGAGTATTTTGTGGGATGGTTAGCGTGGAACAAGACCTACTGTCTTGTGGAAGTTGCCAAACTGGAGCTTCAGGAGACAACAGTGAAGATGCAGACGTCGAGAAATGTTCTTCTCAAACACTGTCCGGTTTTTCCGGGTCTGGCACAAGTTTCTGCAATCTCGATAACTTCTGGTGTTCCACCACTATAACAACGACTCAAGCCACGCAGTTAGTTTGTGGGCCAGGGGGTGGGAGTAGTTAAATAGCCGTCACCGGATTCGATTTCAAGCCGTCCATCGGTGTCTAGACACATTGATCAGCCACCGCACGAAGGCATGCACTCATAATTAGTACGGTGGGGGGACAGGTGTGGGTGCGTGTGTGTGATTGAGCTCGCCTACTGCCCCCCCACCACCTGCCTAGATCGATCGCCCTCTGTCTGTCGTGTACCGTCTATGTCTCGTCTGGAGCCATTTACGGTTTTTACATTTACACGAATTGAGCCGCTTTTACCCTGCACGAAGTTTTCACATATTTGTGATTGGATGAGGGTTAACCAATGGGCGAGCTGTGAGTTGGAGTCACAAGGTCAAATTGCACGCGCAGCCAATGAGTGCCGGTCACGGGCCACCTGAATTCATCTCACCCCATGCGTCGGCTACACTGCCCAGGCGAGTCTGTGGGAAGGACTGAGTTGTAGCCGAAAATAATTGAGTTTTCGTTAACTTCGAGTTCGCCAAAGAGAGCGATGACCGCACTCTCACCTCACGTGCCCCCTTCCCTAGCAAATTCACTCAAGAGACCGCTTTTCCCCCTCACGCACCGTACGGCCAATCAACGTCAACCGAGTAGGAAAATTCCCGCCCAACTGATTGGCCAATGGGATGACACCAGACCCACCAGGTACTGGTTTGGGGCGGCGACCTGCGTCATACTTTTCCCGAATATCTCGAAGATTATCGATCTTTGTAACTTTAAACGGTGCTGATCTTAGTGGTAACTAAGGCAGGTCTAAATTTTAGCTCTAGTTGATTTCTAAATCATCCCGTAATTTGCTTATTCCGCGGACTTCTGATCGACTTCTTGATCTAGAAACTCGGAAATCGTGAACCTAATGATCTAAACGTCAATTTCCCTCAACGAGAGACCTCAAATCGTCCAAATAACTAGCTTCACAGCTTACAGTCAGTCGAAAAAGGGAGTAAAAATGACAAAAATGAATAAGATTATTGTCAATATTGAGGCCTAAAATTTCGATGAAATGTTTAATCTGGGTTTCCGCAAACATATGGTTTAATTGTGTCAAGGATGATAATGAAACAGACGATGAGAATAATAGATTAAAACAAGGGGAATGAATGATGCCCACAGAGAGAGAGGGGGGGAGACGAGATTCGAGCCAATCACTTTTGTGCAATCTAAAAAGAGGCAAGAGCCCGCGTTAGCCGACTGACGCCAATTTACACGCACCGTGAAGGCGGTGTTTGCACATGTGAGAGTCGGGCAAAAAATCGATAGACTAAAGTGCGTTGGTAGTTGGAGGTTTGGCAACCAGACGTGGTCTGCTCAAAATCAATAAGAGGTTCGCGCCGGTGATGCGAACTCGCCACAGCCAAGTTGGATGAGGGAAGAGGCGGTTATTGGGGGAGGGGTGGTGGTGGTGGTTAGTAAAGCATCACATAAACATACCGTGAGGCTGTCGATGAGGTGCTGCATTGTACTCGCTTGGCCTGAATTGATTTTAGCGTAGCGAGTAGGGGAAGCGAATTTGGCGTCGGGTTTGTGTGACTTTGGTCTGGCCTCTGCTTTCTACAAATGTTTTCATGAAAAAAAAAACAAAATAAGAGCGTCGTTGAAGTTTAGAGCTGAACGAAAACACGTCTCCATACCGAGTGCACCTGATTGGCTAATCATCGCAAGCCAAAAATCAACCAATCACACAACTTGTGGGAAAGAAGGCACAGTAATGAGAGGAAGTTTTTAATCTAGACTGACCTTTTTGAGGTCAAAATCAAGGTCACCGGCATGTCGTTTGCCGCTCCAGCGACTATTGGACGTCTTGGCGTGCAGGAGCACATTGAGATGACGCTTAAGTAAAATCTGAGTTTGGCGAATGAGACGAAACCAGGCCTTGGGGCGTCGGAGGCAACCTGGAGAGCCAAAGATGCGGCGTTATTTTCAAAATTTCGCAACCAAACACTCCGATTCCCAACCAATCAGCTGCCTCCACCCACGGGACGAGTTGATTGGTCAGGCTAATTCGCACCAAATTGAGTTGCCTTGGTCAGGAGGCATGATTTTTACGATAAGAAGTGAAAAAAAAAAGCAGAAGTGGATGTTGTCACTTGACAGAACGCGAATACACCTGGAACGGTTTATCGTGTTGAGACGCGATAAGATGGTTAACATGACAGCCGCCTGGGTAACGGGTAGGTGAGCGTGACTAACTCTGGAACCCCCCTTACAACTCAGTTTTGAGCTCAAGGGCACTCTAGTCGACCAAAACAACCTTCCCCCACCAGCGGCTCGAGCTTGCTCGTTTTTTTTACCAAGTGCCAGCATCCAGGGCGTGTTTCGTTGTTGTCAAGGCCGATTCAGGAGTGAAAATGAGTCAAACAACCACTACCACCACGCTAGTCAACGCTATTTCTCTGAATCTGGCCATCTCCTCAAACTGGCGACCAATCATATGTCTTGAAAAAAAAACCAATAATGCAAAATTGAGGATAAATTTGGCGGGTGGTCGCCATTTAACGAGGGTTTAGATTAAAACTTGGACACCTTTTCGAACAATAAAATGGGAGTTTGACTAGTGATCCCACAGACGGAGAAGGGGAAGCGATAAGGATCGAAATTACCTTTACGGAAGACGCGGTGCAGCATCCCAGTCTGATTTTGGCAGAAATGATGCGCAGGTGAGTTGGTTCGAGCTGAAATTTGAGCGGATGGTGGTTTAGAAGTTGGAAGTTAGTTAACAACGCTGAGTTGGTGGTGGCGGTGGTGGCGACAACAGGCACTAACTGACTGACACGTCAGTTTCGACCTAGTTAGCGGACGCGTTGGAGGCCAAAAGTGCTAATTTTGTTTACTTTTAGCAAGTGATTGGACACTAGAAGGTTGTTTTAGCATCGACTCGCACACCTTCGAAGCCTGTCTGCACTCAAAACGGTAAAAATCGTTTTTGGGGAAGCTGCGAGGTGCACAAGGGACTACGCACCAATAAGGGCGCATTTCCGCAACCTGCAATCGCGAGGCTCAAGGTAATCTTCCACCGCCGCAACCTTCAACGCGCTGTGCCGTCGAATCCACTTGATCGCGTTGTCCTCAGCGTTGTACACGGGACTAGCGGTGCCACGGTGGTCGTCCGAGGGCGAGGAAGTTGACGCGTTGGTGGCTTCAGGAGTGGGTAGATCGTGGTGGTAGACAAACGCGGTGGATTTGGCGCGTTTTCGCGCTCGTCGCCACAGACACCATGCAAGTGACGCAAGTAGGAGGATGAACACTTGGCAGATAGCACCCATGGCGCACTGAAGCGCAACTGAAAAGCACATCAAGGTTTAGCTTCGCCTGAAGTTACACCCACAAACATTCGTTGGCCTACTGTCCAAACTACACAAATCGCTGAATGACATCGCTAATGCAAGAAGAGGTGGTTGTCATGGCTACGGCAGCAGGAACTCACGCAAATCCCGATCCGGAGGCTCCTCTTTGCTGGTGCAGTTTGGGCGTTCGAGTTGGCGGTATCGAAGTCCGTATCGATCACGACACACGACAAACTGGCGTTGCTTGGTGTCCAACTTGATCGAAGCATTAGCCACGAAAATTTCTAAATCCTCGTCTATCGACGTCTGTAAAAGTAAAGATTGAACATAAATACTGACAATTAGAAGGTAGATTCAGAGGTAATGGAAACTCACGGATCTGGACAGGTGGACAAGATTGCCATAGAGGCGTTGGTCTAGCGCCACGTCAATCCATGCTCCGCTGTGTTTTTTAATGGACTCATCCGTGGTGACGTACAGTTCAATGGGGCCAATTTGTGCCGTACAATTAACGAAAACAGTTTCATTGCATGCTGTGTAAGACAGCGTTACATTTGGTGGCTCCACTAAGGAGGCGAGTTCTCGTAATGTGTCGTGGTACTCCGACATATCGTTGTCTGGTTCTTCGTAGGCTTCAAACATAAAACGCCTGTGGAAGAAATAACGCAGTGACTGACCCAAAATGTGACTGTCATCGTCATCGTCAAATTACCACAAAGTGACCTTACATGTTAGACCGCCCGGGCTGGTGAAAAAGCGCACGGAAACTGCGACGGTAGGGGAACGGTAAGGAACCGACGTAAACGTGGTAGTCAAAGCGCCTGTTTTGTGGGTGCTGTCTAAATATTAGTGCTGACTCGTAGCATACGAAGTCCAGAGCACGCAGATGGGCTTGCGGACAGGGATAGGAGGCATTTCGAATAAGAAACTAGAAAGACGGAAAACAATGCTGTCAATTAAAACCCTGGGCGATGTTCTAGTAGATGCATGCAAACACACCACAATAAAAACTGTAAACAAACAAAATCTTATTAAAAAAACTGGTTAAAGTAGCTCAGCTTTGTGATGCAAACAGGGCATCCAATCTGGACAAAAAACAATAATTAAACGCGTAATAACAACTCACATCTAGGGGTTGTGCTTCAACGTCTATTTCCAAGTCAACCTTACTGTAGGTCCATTTTACTCTGGCACTAGTGCTACTTCTTTTAAGAGCAAAAGAGCACTTAATTTCAGATACCGGTTCTCTGAATGCAAAAGCGCCCGTATAGTCCGAGTCGAGAAGCCATAGGGGAGTCCCTTAAATTTAACGCATTTGTAGACAAAGTACCTCTCTGCAGGCTTTTTGATAGAGCCTCATCGTGCTCAACTTGCTGCGTTGTATTCTCGACGACCACACTTACTGTATCAGAGCACATCGCTCCACTACAGAGTTGGTAAACACCAGAATCCGAGGTAAATGCATTCCTGAGCTTTAGGGTGCAATTAGGAAAGATGATTCTCCAATCTCTAGACGAAAATAAAATAATACCTTAAACATACAATAGTGGATCGATCTTAGAACCATCATGTGTCCAAGTACACAGATTTGCATCACCACGGTGATTTGGTGAATGTATATAAAAATCCGTGTGAGACTGAGAAATCAAGTGTTCTAGCGTCGCATTGCACAATGTCATTAAAGTAAATAATATAAGTGGCAGCGCAAATATCATGTACTGAAGTTCCCGTAACTGAAAGCACTCCAAACGCAATAAAACACGATAGGAAATTCCATATGTGCCTTCAAGGCCATTGTCAATACATATCCGACGCATTTAAAGAGTATATCCATTTCGGTTAAACTAAAGCACATTACAAATATGTAATAAAATGGTTTGGTTCGTTATAGCTCATTAAGTCATCTGCAGTCGTTTTAAATTAAAAAAGTTAAAAGCACTGCAGGTCCTTGTCAATGAAACAATTTAAGCTTCCTTAAATTTTAAAAGCGCCTGCCAAGCTTGGACTTAAATATGTGGATTTCCGTAAGCCATTCCCATTAAAATAGCCAAATATACCAGGGTTAGGTATCTGGCTTGGGACTAAAGAATAACATTAAGTACAGAATGTGATGGCCGTCAGGAGGAATGACTTTTATAAATGCAACAAAACTGTCGAAAAGATCGTCGGTAAAACCTGCAAATTATATAAAATCACATTTTTTTGCATATTTACTTTTAAACTTTTATTCTTGATTCAGATTCTGATTTACTGAATTTTTTCCAATCAGCAATTTTTATGTCACGAAGTGTAAAAAAATCTCGCTTATGCATAGTTCAAACATATGGCATTTAAATCTGTCAAACATACGGTGTAGAGTAGTTTTACGGATATATTTCACTCTAAAACTTATTAAAATTGTTTTAGCAGAACTAATTATTCAAAACTGTTTGTTAAAGAGCAAAATATACCCATGCGTATCACTTTGAATTTGTCCTCCAACTTGTCAGCAAATGCTTATCTGATTGTAGTGCTAGCATGCGATAAACAAAACACTGGTTTGGCCGTTCTTGCAAATTCTTTACGCATTCACATCAAAATTGATTTGTCTATACTTTGTAGTTAAGATAAAACGCATGAGTCAGATCCAAAGATTTGTTAAAAAAAGCTACATACTAGGCGCAGATATACACATAATGCGAGTGTGCATAAACGATCTTTAAAATAATCCACATGATTAAAACAATTTTTCTCTTAGCTTATATAATGAATATTATAACAATAAAAAGTATAAGTTGTTGACTGTTAGAAATATTGCTGCATATTTTGGCGACGGGTGAGGGCGCAGACATATTGGACCAATCCTTTGTGCCTTTGTGTTCCAATGGCACGCGAGGAAGACATGCAGCCAATCAGAGACAGACATGTATATGAAGCGGTGTGTAATGAGCTGCGCAGCCAGCGTAGTGGACTCGGATGGACGATGCCTGACGTTTGGTTCTGGCTTGTGATTGGTCAATAAATCCTTTTTTGCTGCACCGGTTTTCTCAATTCCGGGGCTCAGATATTCTGCAGTAGCGATAGTTACACCTTTGAATAGCGTTCCAGGGGAACCAGTACAGTAAAACAAAGCGCCATGGGATAAAACACTGCAGATGTTACACGTCGCTTAACAAGCTCGTATGAAATTAAGCATAATGTATGAGTGCACGAAATTACCAATTTTCAGACTTACGATGGCATGTTTAAAGGCGGCAGCACATTTATGAAACCTGCGTAGCAGTTTGAAGATTTGAAAAATGACAAATGTTCTCATTTTACAAAGTAATTACGATCAAATTCTCGAGCATTTAGCTTACCCATATTTGAGCATCACCACGACATCATACCATGCTAGGATACATGATCTCTAGAGGAGAGACTGGATATTCGGATCATCGTCGGAAAATTTGGCGATGTTGTACAAGAAGCATTTGAAAAGGCAGACTGAAACACAGGCAAAAAACTGACACAATTTAAGTAGGCAACTTGAGAGTTAACGCGTTTCTAAATGTAATCTAAACATCCTACTGAATTAATGATGTTACTGCGTATAATTTTCTCTGCGTTTTAATTTAACCTTTTACGTTTACGTGCTTTTTTTGTATGAAATAATTTGTTGTACCAAAGTCTTTCCTCCAATTAATAGAAACAATAAAGTTTAAGAGTAAACAATAATAAAAATAATTTTGCATGTTTGTACTTATTAACTAAATAAGTAAAATTACCCAACGGAAGCGTCGGCTTGCCGATTTAGCTTCGGAGACTATAAGAGGGCGCATGTAGCCCCGTTTGTCGCTCTGGGGCAACTCTCCGGGGCCCAGGCAGTAATGCCATCGGCCACTGTCGCGTTCACCAATGAGCACCGAGGAAGTGGCGCGGGTTTGACTTTGTCTTCTCGTGGCGTTGGTGTCTACCCCGCAGATCAAAGATATGCTACCACTGTCCACAATGGGGGTTTCGCAAGCCGACGATTTTGCATAAATATTAGCATTTCGCAACAACCTTGACTATATAATGCAGGCCGTGTTTTAAACAACGTTCAAGATGATGAAGGTCACGGGGAATTGTGTTACAAACGTGTTTAGCTTTTATAAAGGAAATTAGCAAACCAGAATTCGATAAATGACAGGTCTCTTTCAGACATCGTACAGAATCATTGTAGGTGGAGAGATGTAATGAAAAATAACATTAACATACCTGAAAAATGCGACTTGAGTAATCTAACACCGCTGGAGCTGGTGCCTTTTAGGGGGACTGCAAAGTCAACTGATGTATTTATAGTCAAATGTTTACTTTTACTAATAAACGAAAAAAAATTTGATAACCACGGAAGTCATCGCGTGGTCATATAAAATTCGAACAACTTGGAACGGAGTTTAGTAGCAAGAACAAAATCAAAAATTGTTGTTTAATCCCAGGATTATTTTGACTACAGAATTTGATTTTGATCGAAGTCTATTTGTTTAGTTGGTCTTCAATGCTTAAGGATTCCTTCTGTTAGCTGTGGTGAATATTAATTCATTCTAGGACCTTTAAACCATTATTTTTTTATTTAATAGCTTATTATCGCATATTTGCCTTTTTATGTTAAGGTTTAGAGTTAATTTATGTAGTAGTTTTATAGCTGCCACCGCCAGTCAAAGGATCAATTTCATTTATTTGTGTCAGTGCTTCATTGATGCGCGAGCTTTAAATGTAGTGTGTGGATCGTCGATGCCTGTAGTCCATGGGTTTTAATTTCTCAATATGCGGCCTGGTGTGCATTTTGATGACATATGCGGCCGTATTTTACTCGGATTATGTTGTGCTTTTTCAGCTGATAGTCCCTGTTTTTAATTATGGGTGCGTTCTTTGTTTTGTGTTGCATACTGATCAATTAAATAATATGTACTTGTCAGTATAAGCTTATGATTCATTTTTTATGGTAGATTTTCGTCTTCGATTTCTTATTTTGTGAAAATGTTCTGTGTTAGGGAAACCAAGGGCTGTTAACTCTCTAAATAACACCCAATAACCTATTGCTGACATTTGTTGTCTGCATTGACTCGAGAAAAGCTCTTAATTATATCAAATACCGTTACGTTTTAGCTGTATTGTTTAAATTTAGAAGTATTTAGAAAGGAATTAATCGTACCATAACCTGATCCTTTCGCCACGTTCTTTTTTTAAATTGTTCTGGCTATACTGCTTTGAGGAAGGCAGTTTCCCGCTTATCGCCATTTCACAATGCCGAATAATAATACGTGCATTAGCTACTTTTCCCGTCTAACTTGTTTGCTTTTTGTTTTTACAGCCTTGTCACGATTGTTGTGGCTGTTTATTACAATGTGGTGGTGACTCTCCTTGTTATTTCTCATGTTCGAGCCGTTTTCACAGATCCTGGCATCATCCCACTTCCCTCGCGTCGGCATAGCCCGGAGACTCTTCTCACTCTTAAACGCAATGTAAATATTCCCTAGTTTTGCGATTTCGTTTCTTCATATTCCATTTCGTCCTCGTAGATTTTTTATGTGCCCATATTTGTTTTGAAACCCAACAAAACAAGTCCTTTTTTTTAACTCCTTTATCTGTCTGTTAGTACCCTGGCGGATGGACAATCTGCAGAAAATGTTCAACTCTTCGGCCTCCAAGAGCGCACCACTGTAGCGTTTGCAACAGATGCATACGAAAAATGGATCATCACTGTCCATGGTAACGTCTTAGCGTATTTCCTTGTTGAGCAAACCCTTTTCACATGTGGCAATTTTGCAGATTCTTCAAGTTTTCGCACGAAGTGTGTGTGTGTGCCCTCTGCCAAAATTAGATCGTGAATCGTGAATCACGTGACACCTCTTATGACACACAAGTGTGCTAAACCCAAATGAGTGCCTCTTCTGCTCACTTTCTCTGGATTGTTTAACGGTTTTTTTCCAATTTGAATGCAAGTGCTCAGTGATTGGTTAGTTTCTCGCCAAACCTCAGCCCCTCTTTACTTTTGTCTGCAACTTGATTGGTCGATGTTAACCAATCAGACAGGAATATCAGTCACAGACAATTTGCTGTCCACTCCTTCAGAAATGTTTCTTTTGGTTGCATTTTTTTCCCAACTCAAGAGTTGGAATGTGTTTTTTGTTATTGTTGTTTCAGGGTTAACAACTGCGTCGGGGAGGATAATCAGCGTTACTTCTTGCTCTTTCTAATTTACGTCGGTGAGTGCTGCATCGATTGATCGTGGCTCCTGTGTGTGTTTGTGTGCTTGCGTTGTTTACACTCATTCGTGGAATGTTGCCGTGTCTGCGGTAGTCAACTCCAAGGTTGCAATATTGAAAGCACGCGATAATCATTCGATCGCTTCCCGCACCCTATAAATGTCGGCACGTGGTCTCCGCCAACCCACTCGCACAAACACACACCTCTTGTCATTCACTGTCTTGTGAAATTTAATTAACTTCTTGCTTGCTTTGGTGTGTTAAAAGCTGGATTTTGTCGACTTTCTGTAAACCTTAACACTGACAGGTGCTGGTTACTTCGACGTGTTTCAGTACCCCATTGTTCTTTTCGCATTCCACAGGTTTCTGCTGTGCCAGCTGCCTCGTAATCATCGCGTTCTGCTGGGCACTTGACTCGGGGAATCGCGAGACATCAGTTTACCGACAGATTCGCATGTACAAATTTCGCTGTTTTTTTTTCTTGCTTATAAAACGTCCGCGTAAACCAACCTGACGTCTGACAGCACATCGTCCTCCTGCTTTGTCTGTGACCGTTTTTTTCTGTTTAGAAATGCTAATTTGTCTGAGATTTATGTGTGTGTGTGTATGTGTGTAATCTCGCAGCTGCAGGTAAATGTGTGTTCTAGATACGAGAAATAAGGTCTAAGATGGTTTTTCTCACCCCACTCACTGATTGGCCGAAAATTTAAAGTGGCCGCCAATCCGGTAAAACAAAACAGGGCTCTTTTTTTAAAATTCTCTCCCTTTTTAGAATTCACTCCGTAATCCTGGTGATTATCTCTTGTCTTTTCGGTCTCTTCGTATTTGCAATTTTCTCCGATCAGGTACGCCACTGTTTTAGCACCTAAATGCTGACACCAGGTGCACCCCGACTAATTCTCTGCGCCTTTTACCAGCTCTCCGCGATATTCAACGATGAAACAGCCGTGGAACACGTTCAACGCGTTAATCCACGCGGCGGTGGCGGTCATTCGACGTTCGACGACGTGGAATCCGGCGGACACCGCAAGCTAACCAAACTCGAGCTCCTTCGAGACGTCTGTGGTCCAGGTGGGTGTCTATCGATTTCTTTTTGTGGAGGCACGTGATTGGACCAAAAAAAGGGTTAATTTTCAGCATCCCTCTCTCTCTCTCCACCCTACCCTCAGGTCCGATGTGGTTGTGGCCGGTGCCGTGCCTACACGCTCGCAGACACCGTCCTCTCAATTGGTCTGTGGACAGCGCGGACTTGCTTGGTCTCAAGTCTGCCAACGTCTGTCTGACAGACAGTTCCGCGAACCTTCCCCTCCTTGGTACCACTCACGACGACGACAACACCGACTCGCCTCCCTCCACCTCTAACACCGCCTTCAGCCACACCGAAGTCAAACGTGTCAACTCCCTAACCGCTAGTATTTAAGACTCCCGAGTGCTTTGTGTGCCGCGTAAATTTGTCATTTTTTGTTTGTGTCTTTTCCTTTGTTTCTTCCGAAGTACACATGAATCGTGCGAAAACATCCCCTCTTCGCCTATTTCCAGCAATATTAAATAGTAATTGTTACTTATATTTATCAGTAGTTAGTTATTTACAGGCGTTTAGGAAATCGGTCGTGAGCATATCCGCCTGTCGGGAACACGCGCATTTAATAACTTTCGCCTGGTTAGTGTGGAATTCGCTTTTGGGGTTGAGCCTCTGCCTAGAATTTGATTGGTTGGTTTCGCGGTGCTAAAATCAGTCCTTTATTAGTCGCAAATTGCGTTTTTCGATGTAGACAACTTAAGTTCTTTAAAAGTGGTACTACAACTGTTAAAAATTGACCAATTGATGCACAATAAGAATCGGTATTTAATTGTGCATCTGGCTGCTACTTATTTTGTTAATAGTAGCAACGATTTAGACAAGCAGCTTCCTGGCCATCTTTGAAGAAGAATTTTATATAATGCAGCACGAAATAAGCATCCTTTTGTGTAAACAATGCAACTTCCTGCTACTTTGCTTCGGGTTTTAATTGTCATGGAAAACGAAAAAATAGCTAAATTGACACTAGTCTCACTTCGTCTAGCAGAGTTATTCGTAGTCGCTGAACGAAGGCGTTATTCGTAGATCAAACGTCCACAGTGACATCACGCATCTGCCTCACGAAGAACCATCCATCCGCAAAGACAGAGTTTGTGTCTCTATGTTTAAAAAATGTTATGATTACCTGTTTTCACATGGCACCGCCACACACACGATTCCGCACAATTTCACCATCTGGTCCGCATTTTCATTGGTTGGATCCGCCCAATAGGAACGAGGCTCGGTCAGCTACCACAGCCTAAATGCTCACTTCCTCGGGAAATCGAGCAGCTTTGTAGAACGAATCAATTCACGCCTGCCCGGCTAATTTACGGCCGATAACTGGCTGCTTGTTGCCGACGCTGACAACGACGGTGACGACGCGGGCGCTGCGTGACCCGAACAGTGCAGTTTTTCAACCATCAAAGCACGCCGACTTAGCCTACTTTTTCCAGGGCATTAATCATAACCAGCGTCTTCCTAATTGTCAGACGCTAGCCCAGTCAAGTTGATGCTGAACGGGAGGGAGGGAAAATGGAGTTACCTCGTGTTTTTTTTTCATCATGGTGCATGCAATACCAAACCCTAGTTCCCTAATGCCGCTGAACATCTTCGATTCTCACTTAGGCATTTTTGAGGATACTCAAAATCACCAATCCAGTGACGCATTTATAACAGATCTTAAATGTGATTGGCTGCTTTGGCACATATTTACGTGGTTGATTTTTTCTGAAAAAAATCAGCACCCTGTACTTAACAAACACAGGCAACAAAAACCTAACATCCGGTCACTTGTCAAACGCTCCATGATGATTTGTCATTTTTTTGTTTGTTTTTTGTACAACATCGCCGTCTCGCCTTCATTGCTAATTCACATTTCAAATCGACCGCGCTCTCATCCCATTGGCTCGTCGTTAAGGCGGAACTCACAAATTTGGTGTGTGTGTGTGTGCGTGAGTCTTACTTAACTGTCCATTTTGCAACCTCCGGTTCTTCGCACTGTGAAGCGTGCTGGTGCTTAAGTATGGATTACACACACGCTAAGCACACACTCGCGCGCGCGCGCACATACACACATTTAAAATGCCACTTGTTGATTGTCTGCCACATTCCAAATTTATGTGTGCGGCCATAATAATGATGGAACACTGGTGTACGTGTGTGTGTGTGTGTGTGTGTGTGTGTGTGTGTGTGTGTGTGTGTGTGTGTGTGTGTGTGTGTGTGTGTGTGTGTGTG